TATACATGAATGTAATTTTGATTTTAGGTTCAATCCGGTTCAGCATGGCAGGTTTTGCCCACTAGAGGGAGCTGTTTACCAGATACTGTCCAGCTGCTCAGTATCTGCTGGGACATGATGATAATCATAAAGGCAGAGGCAGTCGGCCTTCACTCTGTGAGCAGAGAATTTAACATCAGTTTTACAATTATAAATATTCTGTCCAGACAACACGTGGAATGACTTCTGTTTGTCATGACAGATTTTAAACACACCAAATGAAGTCGACTTTGAAGGTTTATTCTTGTTATACACACATGTATGTGTGTGGATATTCATGACCTCCAAACACCTGAGCAGCTGTGATGAATGAGAGGTCACGATATCTCAAAACAAGTACATGAACCTTGTGGGCATTTTGTCAAACCAAATGAAAGTCACCAGATATTTTCACTGTAACATACAGCGATGTATTAACCCAAACATGGGCATGAAAAAATCTGACACCAAGAATTAAAAAGGGGGTCCAACCCGGTACCAGCAAGGTGTACCTAATAAAGTGGTCCATAAGTATATATTCTGATTTATTACCTTTTTTTTTTAACTGTGAATTATGTCCCCAAAGGAAAACTGTCAACATGTGTTTTATGTAACAGAGTTTTCACCTTCCTTTACAGAACAAAAGACAGCAACAACAGCAGAGTTTGATTTTCAGCAACTTTATTTCAGTATAAGTGGTTTTTAAAACACCTCACACTGTTTCTCCAAACATCTCATTATTCTTGCAACCCCCGAGATAAGCAAGCAAGACATTAATATCTTCAAACATGGCCAAGTCCAACAAGATCAAACTCTGTGCCAAACGACATTTTCAAAGCAAACTATTTGACAAGAGTCAACATTAAGACAAGTGGGGAGCAAACGGTCACATAATAACCAATAATTAAATTCTGTACACGTGTAAAACCTGACTAAAAAGATGCTGTCTGACGGCAGCCGACGCAGAAAAAGGAGCAGTGATCTGACCAAATTAACCAAATGCCCAAACAGTAACCTCCTCTTCGGCCTCCTGGGGTCAAGTGTGTGTGTGTGTGTGTGTGTGTGTGTGTGTGTGTGTGTGTGTGTGTGTGTGCATGCGTGTGCACTTGTGTTCTATCATACAAACAGTACATTACATAGAAACCCAATGTGTTCTAATAAGGCATTATGTGGCAGAACAGAAAACAGAAACTCCACAGAGCAAAAACAGAAAAAACAACAGCATTAATGCCAGAAATCTGTTTTTAAGGCCAAGAAACAGAACAAAGTCATGAAGAGAGTGAAGAGCGGCGTGAAGTCAAGCTCAAGTCTTGAGGAAACCTTAAACGTCAGTACAGACACCGTTTAACGAGGAAGAATGAGATGATGAAAGAAACGCGGTGCAGGAAACATCCTGACAAAAACGCTTTGTTGCTCTGGGTGGTGAATTGGGCTCAGGTTGTAACGACTGAGATTCATCTGCAGAAGCCGGTCTGCAGAGTGACGACGGGAGTATGTTACGAACTCACTGTTAGCGGGGGTGAAACCAGAGTGCGTGCATTCACTTCACAGGTGGTGAGAGTAGCATAATAAGCCTGGACAGTACCTCAAAAAGTACAGATATAAAATACATTCATGAAGACATCTTTACAAACAAAACAAGAACAAGGTCAACAGAAAGCAGAACACCATCAGTTCAAATGGCTCAAGCCCAGAGGCAAAACACAAACATCAGTTAATGGACTACAGTACAGAGTCAGGTGACGGGGGGAGCCGAACAAGGACGATGATTCCCAAACATGTTTTTGTGTTCATACATTTACGTGCAACGGTTCAATTCTGTATATACAACTGGTACTCCTTACTGGTTCATCAAAAGGACCAATCAAATTACAATAAAACATGTTAAGTCACAGACCCAAAGTAGTGTCTCGCCATGCAGGTAACTTTGGTTTCAGCTAACCAGGTGTTGAGATCTGGCTCGCAGCCTCCACCCCAAAACAAAACAGGTGAGTTAAAAATGTATACGTGGCACTCACAACATTAAACATTTTAAAAATGAAACATCTTTTTCCAGAAACAGTTTCCCTGTTTGTCACACCGACATTTTTAATTTAGCTCATTTTAAGGCCAAAATCTCCTCTCCACTAAATTAGTAGGCGTCTAACAATCATCAATCTGGACTGATGACTGATTCATTCATCAACAATCCAATATCATCAATGAAAAGTGAAAACATTGATCACAGGCTCCTGAATTTTATCAAGTCAAAACTGTATTGAGTTGTACGAGTCATTTTGCGGGGGTTGTGACACTCAAAAAAAGTAACGCTATCCACTGATTTAGACGTCCCTTTCATAACGTCAGTCTTTTTGGGCACCATGGCCTCATATGACGGACCAGGAGGTTGTAATTCAAAGTTCAGCTACCTTGTATAATTGGATTTAAAGCCCAGCGCTGTTCCTGGGGGCTTGATACCAGCCAATAAGCCCCACCAGTACGTCAACAAACTTCTAGTGTCACTTATTTTACAGCGACATGTAAATGTCAATTGTGCCACTTTGTGGTGTGACCAGGCGCTTACTCTGGATGAAGACACGCTGTCAACAAGTAGCCCAGTAAAAGCAAGCTAACTGTTTCTGGAAAGACATGCTGCTTTAAAATTCTCACAGACATACCTAAAAACTTGGGGGGAAACAATCCAAACTATCTGCATCACCAGACACTACCACAGGTACGTCAATACATTTCTCTTTTGTTTGAATCAACCCTTTAAATCTTTTCCTAAACCAGACGGTGAGCCTGAACCCGACTCTTCATCACAACCACTGACAATAATCTGTGTGTGCCGGTCATTGCACCCACAGTACCTCTTCCAAGGTCTCTGTACCGATTCAACAGTAGATGGACAGTGCTGCCTAAGCCATGGTGGTGATGGTGGTGCTGCGCTGGTGTCCACTCCGACACAGTTCCCTGAGAACCCACTTCCTCTACGACTACAGCTATGGCAAAATGCTGGGGACGATAATTTGTGGTCCTGAATGATTTAAAAAATAATAACAATCCAACACATTTTACAGAATGATATGGTGCAGCATTACAAGGAGAGGACATATTAAAAGCCAATATTTACAAATGATGATGTGGGTGGAATATTTTCATCATATCATGGTGCATGTGTTGCCTCTACATACAGACGAACAACAGTGTGCTGGTGATGGAAAATAAAGGTGTATCTATGAGGACACTACACGGTGCCACTGGTCTATCCAATCACTGAGCTGTTTGGCTTCGCTGAGCGACAAAGACTTTGTTAATGTGTTTACAATAATCAGCAGTTTCCAAACTGGTGATCATTTGAATAGACAAACGGTTCAGGTTCTGTAAATGAAGAAACGTGATCCACAGTTTACTCTCCGGCTGCCTCGCACGGGGCACCAATGTTACATATGCTGCTGTAGTACGCTCTGTACTATCACCAAAATATGTAACCATTACTGCTCTGATATTTTCTATTTGTACATATTGTATACAGCATTTGACTATATATCTGTGTTTTTTCTATGTGTGTGTTTTTTGCATTCTATATTCCAGTCTCTGGATGCTTATTTTGGCTTTAAGCAATGAACCGCTCCTATGGATAGTGAGTTTGCATTACAAATAGGGTCTCTCTTTCCCTGGCGCGCTCCACAAACTCAAATCCTTCACAGTTTGCTTCAGTGTCCACCTCTTCCTCACAGTCCTTTTTTTTGACCCCATATATATATTTAATATTATAAAAAATAAGTTATTGCGCATCCAAAAAAAGTGCATCATATATTTGAAAAATATCTCTTTCTCTCTTTACACTTTTCCATTTTTCTTCATGTTTCCTGCTGATCGGGGTCGTTTCCCATCGTCGGATTTGGGAGGGCAGAGGTTCCACTTGTTTCCTCTTCACTCCATCGTACAGCGCCACTGATGGGGAGCGATGGGGAGTAAAGGGGAGTGGGGGGGAGGGCGGAAGAAGAGAAGGGGAGAAGGGAAGAGAGAAATAGGCGATGGAGGGACGTCTTGCTACGCAATGACCATGGGAACGTCATCTGAGAAGCCGCTGATCATGGGAGCATCTTCATCATCATCACCTTGAGAGGAAGAGAGGGAAGAAAGAGAGAAGAGAGGGATGTTTAAGAACATGTCTGCTGTACAAACTAAAACTGCACTAATCAAAATATTAATATCAATAATTTATCGAGACCAAAACTGACTTAAAGCTCCTACAAGGAACTTTCATTCTGAGTTGATTTTGGCGACCCTGTGGACCAAAGCGGTAGCGTTTTGCCGGAATGAAGCCTACATTTCCCATGAGCTCTAGCGCGTATTGTCGTAAAGACGCTTACCTGGCTCACACATGTTTGTTCTGGGGATGAATGAAACAACAAGACGGGAAAACTTTGTCCCCGCTCCTATCGGGGATCCCAGCTCACCTCTGCCGCGCCCCAGCTCCACCTCGCCGGCGTAAGCGCCACCGCCGCCGGGGTAAACGCAGCGGTCGGCTGGTAAGGCTGAAGGCCTGTTTGGCGAGCACTTCCACGGCTTCTTGGACTGAGTATGGAGCGGTGCCTCGCCTCTTTATTTTATCCTGAAGGATTTCCTGACTTCCCGAGGATTGGATTTTCTCTGTGTGACTGAGACGTGGCTGATTGTTGGTGAGTCCAGTGCTTTCACAGAACTTTTACCCGATGATTGCTGCTATTTTAACTCCCCGCGGACGTCGGGTCGAGGAGGAGGAATAGCGACTATTTATCAGAGTCACTATAAATGTAAGCAGCTAGGTAAGATGACGTGTGCCGTCTGAGTGCTGTAAATTGTTTCGTCCTGGAAGCGACCTGGGGCGGACCCGGAGACAGTTTCATAAAGGTATGGATATACACTATATAGAAATAGCTTATCTTCACACCGATGGTCTCATTTGCTGTTGTAGGTCACGCACAGACAACAGCAGAAACAAGAGACTTTTACATATCCAGTTAAAAGTTCCTTGTAGCGGCTTTTGAGAGTTTTAGCAGATCTGTGAGGACACTGTGTGGAGAGTTTAGTGCCATCTAGTGGTGAAGTTGCAGAATGCAATCAACTGAAAACTTGTGTGCTAAGCGTGCAGTGAACTACAGTGGCTGATGCAAACGTGCAAATGTCCCTATCTAGAGGCAGTGTTTGGTTTGTCCATTCTGGGCTACTGTAGAAACAACATGGTGGACTCTGTGGGTAAAGGACCCGCTCCGCATGTAGATATAAAGAGTATAAAGCGCGCCAAATTTGAAAAAATTCCCTCAAGGTGTTCTTGACATATCACACACACAAGAATCAAACATACATGTGTACGGACAACCCAAAAACATAATGCCTGTGGCCACAGCTATCACTGGCGCAGAGGCATAAAAAGTTCTCACTGTGCAGTAAAGTGGGACCTGTCAGTGAAGACAAGCACATTACAGTATTTGCCTGGAACCATAAAGTTAGAGTACTCGACTGAGTGTACTTGGTTGCATCCCATCACTGCAGAACTGACACTCGACAGACGACCTGACAACTGGGAGTTGCCAAAGCCGTGACAACAACATTATCTCCAGCAGGCTTCCCTCTGTCTTGTAAACTGCACCACAGTGAGGAACTGAACTCTAATGACCTCTGCACTGTCAGCACCTGGATGATCCAAAGATGTACACAGCTCACTCACCCAGTTCATCCCCGGAGGAGAAGATGGCAGAGCCCAGGCGAGAGTTGTAATGGGAGTTTGCAAAGGCGGTGAAATTATTCTGCAGCCGGCGGTGTCGGAGGTAGAGCGCCACCAGGCCACCGCACACGCCCAGCAGCAGCAGAAAGAGGACCGGGACCACCACCGCTGCCATGTCTCCTGAGTGGCCCTCACCGCGGGAGGCGTCACTGGCTCCTGGACAAGAGGAAGAGTAACGTGCAGTATAAATGGAAAAGCAAGTCCATGTTCACCGTTCATCTCACTGTGGTTTCTCTTAGAGCTCACGTTTCACAGTGTGTGTTTATGTTCCTCTACCTGCTGTCAGCTGGTTATAGAGCAGCAGTGCAGGTTCGCCACACAGCTGACCGCTGAGCAGGCAGCGGGCCTGCACTGAGAACGTGTAGTTGTGTCCCAGCAACAGGCTGCTGATGCGGAAATAGGTCTCTGTGGTGTTTCCCAGGTAGGACGTCTGGTTGGTCACACTGTCATACACATGCACCTCATAGCCCTGTAAACAGCACGTAACACTTAATGCTTCTTTTGGACTGAGACAATATTCACTGGGTTTCTACTGCTGTACGTCCCCATAAGATCTAAGATCTAAGAAATATACAATCAAATATGAGTCTTGTACCTAGATAAGTACAGCAGTAGAAACCTGAATCCAACCCTCTGCGCCAAGTCAGATTGCAGAGAAAAGGGTTGTGGAAGATAAGAAAGCCTAAACGTAGGATAGAGGAAAATGTTTCACTGTGGAAAACCCCAGACATGGGTCACTGGTGTCTCACCCTGCTCTCATTGAAGCCCTTCTCTCGGACAGCCAGACTCTTCCAGAAGAGGAACACGTGGTCTTTCTCTGTCAAAATCTTCAAGGCTTCAGGAGCAGGAAGAGGAACTGCAGCAGAGGGAGAGTGTTTCTTTAAGGACAGCATTTCTTTTTGAAGACACATACAGATTATAGAAAGTGAGCGGTCGTACTTCAGTATGGTGGGAACTTTATGTCTTCAAACAGAAAGACGCAGACTGCACCACAGCTACACACACACACACACACACACACACACACAGTACCATGGAGTGTGTTTTATAAACCACAGTCAGCGTGCACATACAGATCTCCGTTTAACCCACAATAATCATGTTTGTATTTGTATCTTTTCATTGATATGTTGCACTTTCTTTAATGGATTATTTATTACAGCTTTATGGTTTTCATAACCTTCTTCTCATTTCTGCAGCACCTACGTATTTACATTTTTCTCAAGGCATGTGCAAAACCTTCATATACAGTATATCCTCTGTCTGTATGTTCATTGTATGTCCGTAATGAACCACTGTAGTGTCATGTTAACTATGTATTGTTATAGTTGACTGCTGCTGGGTGTAGCAATATTGCCCGAGTACAGTTCCCTCTGGGGACAATACAGTATGTCTTGTGTTGTCTTGTGTGTCTCATGCGAGACCAGCGAAAGCACGTGAACACACATGAACGCGGTGCCCATGTCTCACGGTCTCGCGCAAGCGCGCACACACGTGAGCGCGGTGCCCAGAGAGGCAGTCAGAGCTACAGGCTACAATGAGGCTAAAAACAGAGTTCAAATGAGGTTTTTCCAAACAACTTTTTATGTCGGGGCTTCAGGACACTTGGATCACTACGGACGAGCAGTATGGAGATATTTTGTGGTTTCAATTATGTGTTTTTGGACGTTTGAATCTGGGGCGCCATCAGCCTCCATTAGGTGGAGTTGTGTTGCTACCACCTCTCCCCTTGGATCTCAGCAAGTGATGTGAGGACTCTAAAACTTCACCTGAGCCTCCCTCGGCACATGGGTGAGTAGATAATGGCTGCATTTTCAGTTTTGGATGCACTATCCCTTTAAGCATGTATTCTACAAGGATCATTGCCTGGTGAGGATGCAGCTTTAGCATTAGTCTGTCAGCATGAAACCATGAACGCAGTGCATATCTCTGTGCATATTTCAGTCAGCTTGAATCATTAAAAAGCTGGAGACCAAGTTTACAACCAATTCATAGAGCTAGCGTTAATGAGTTCGTTGCAGCTGATGAAATTTACCAGCGACAGTCACAATTTCAGACGTCAAAAACAGTTGGCTGCTGTGGTCTGTGAGTCAGCGCTGTGAGTGTACCTGTGCACAGAGTAAAGCTGGCCTCCTTGCTCATGTTGCGCAGGCGCACAGAGATGCTGTATCGTCCTCCGGGCTCCAGGCCTTTCAGCACGTACTCTATTGTGTTGTTCTGGGTGGTCAGCTTGTAGTCCCGCTCCTCCTTGCGGATCACGTCCCGCACGTGGATCGCGTATGTCTACAGAAACGCAGATGGACAGGAAGACACACATACACACACACACACACAGAAACACGAGGTTACAACAAGGTTTTTGTATATTGTTGTAGCAGTTGTCCTGACGCACCCTCCTGATGCTCATCACCAGTAACATGAGACAGTGTCGTACCAGAGGAGAGTTTGGCAAGTCGTAGGGTGGCTGCCACTTCAGCGTGGCCTGTGTCTTGTCTACTCGCACACGGTGGAGGTTCCTGGGTGGCAGCCTCTCGTCGGGAATCATCTTCACCACAACGTAGTCAGAGGGAGGACCCAGGAAGGGAGAGACAGCACGCACCTGACGGTAGATCACAAACTAGAATTACTGCGTTGTGGTTGTACGCCTCCGTGCACCGGTCAGGTCGCACTTATAGTCACCACCAAAATCCACCAAATTCACTTGAAGTGTTCTTGAGATAACACGCTCATAAGAATGGGACAGATGGACAGCACGAGAACATAATGCCTCCGGCTGTGGCTGGCACCGGCGCAGAGACATTATAAACTTTTGGATCAGGACACATTTGATGATGTCAGGTTGTCAAAGTGGAGTGAAACAGTTTGTAAAGAGCTCAGATTAAGCTGTTGAAAAGACTCACCAGGAAGAGATACTGTTCATCACTGTCCACTGTGACCGTGAGGCTGAGAGAAGCGGTGGTGATCTGATGAGGGCTGCGGTGCAGGGCCAGGAAGGAGGTGGCGTAAAACACACCGTACACCTACACACACAAACAACAAGGTGTCTCCTCATTAAAGGCTTCTTTGGTGAATGATTGTTCTTTATAAAACCATATCATAGTTTGTTGGCTCAGATCGTGAAGACTGTCTTAAAGCTTCTAAATGTTCCAAACGTCTCCACCTGTGACCGTCTGACGTCTCTTTGGAGATCTGTCGTTGCGTGCATCACGACATACTGATAAATCCCTGGCTGCGTTTATTCGGTGCGATGGACTGTTACTTATCAGAGGTGTTGATCTCCTACCTGTTGTCCCTGTGCGGGGGGTTTGCTGATGGTCCAGCTGCAGTCCACAGCTGTCTGGTTGAGAGCCCGGGCTTTGAGGAGGGGCCGCTCCGGCTGGGAACCAATGGTCTGATGGTGGGACAGGGCGGTGGGACTGTCTCCTATACTGGTCTGAGCCCACACAGCCACCTCATACACCGTCCCTGCTGTCAGGTTTGTCGCTGGAAACAAGACAGTACGCATCAGAATGTAAGTGAGCAGTGATATGTGTGCAACACCTGACTGAAGCCAGGCTCAGACTACAGGAGGGTTAAAATCCTGAACAGTATCTGATGCACTTCTAATATCCGTCCGCTGTAGTATGATCGCTAACGTTATCGTCGACACTATCAGCTGCTCCTGGACTTGTCTGTCATTGGCTATTGTGAAAGTACTCATGTCATCATAATAGTAATCGCCCAGATTTTAAATCCCAAACATCAAACGTGCTGGGCGTTTTGGGGGCGGCCCAAATGAGAATGCAAACAGAGGTTTAAGACTGGATCTGTTAACGTCTCACATGGTCAGATGATCTGGGCTGGTGCTGACAAAAGTCCCAGACCAGATTCCTCCTCCGACCGTCAGGAGGGATCAATTTGTCCCAAACTCCTGCAGTCTGAACCCGGCGTGATGTAAAGCAGTAAATCATGTGGATAAAGACCCAAACAGTACCTCTGAGGAACCTCCCTGTGACTGAGTAGTTCCTGCTCTCCTTGACGTGGGTGTCAAACTGCCAGTACAGAATCACTATGTACTGTCTCACCTTAAAGACACAGAGAGAGATCCATCAGACACACACACACACACACACACACACACACACACAGGACACACACACTTTAACAACGTGAGGAGGGGCTTTAGAGAGGAGCTCTTACGTCATACTGGGAGTTGAAGCTGAATGAAAGGCTCATGGAGTCGGCGGTGATGCTGTCAGCGATCACAGAGGGTGGAGGCAGAGCTGCAGAGCAGACGGAGCGGGTCAAAGAAGAATTTAACTCTTTATATTATTTCAGAGAGCTGACATGGAGATATATTCAGTGGGATTTGGTTGTATCGTCACAGGCAGCAATCTGAGTGATGGCACTCAGCACTTCCTTTGTTTCTTTCAAATTAAAAGCCCCTTCCCACCTAAACAACACTTCTTTAGATATCTTCAGATCGTGTTAGTAGTTTTGTACAGTCCTGTGTGCAGCATCTCAAGTGACGTCACAAACACTGCACATCCTGAAGTACCTGAAGGCACCAGTAGGTGGCAGCGTTGGACAGTTTTTCACACCATATTGTGTGTGTGTGTGTGTGTGTGTGTGTGTGTGTGTGTGTGTGTGTGTGTTACTCTGCTGGGAGAAGCAGCTCACCTTTCTTTGGTGTGATGGATTTAACCTCGCTCCAGTTGCCCACACCTCGACTGGTCAGTGCTGCCACCTACATCATCAGTGACATCAGCATTTAAACACACCGCACATGATGATATCACAGCAACATTTACTGACTGTGGAAACATCTTTTCTTAAAACATGTCATCATAGTGAAAGTGAGTCTTACCCTGAACATGTACATGGTGTCCGGCTGCAGCCCCCTCACTTCAGTGTTGGTCGTCATGGATTTTTGTGACATCCAATCGATGCTCTTTTCCTCACTGTATTCGACCTAACATCAAACACACAGACACCGAGGCAGATATTCATAATCAATGAGCTTGTCAAAGTGTGACAGTACAGCTGTGTGTCAGAATCACTGATGAAATGAAACGTAGAATAACTCTACAACAGGTGCGACCATGATCCCAGGACTGTTTCTCTCTTTGAACCATCTGCATTTAAAAGTCTGAAAGCTCAGCCTGTCCCTAAACAGAAGCAACCAGGACACCAGTCGTTTCAAACAGAGCACAGGTGCGCTGCACAACTCCTCTGTCGGACTCTTTTGGTCCAGAGCTCGGGAAGGAAGTAAACTGTGCACACCACAGACCACTGTCAGGATACAACAGCATGCGTTCATTAGTTTGAATAAGCCACAGGACTTTCCACCCTGAGTCCTGGAGGTGGGCCGGAACCTGGAGCTCTACAGCAGCACAATAGTCTCCCCACTACTGGTCTTGTTTGTTTGGATGATCGTGCAGTTTAATACAGATGAAGACTCACAATGTACTCTCTGATGATGCCGTGTCCTTTGTCAGGAGCGCTCCAGGAAACTTCCACCGTCCCGTCCTCACCGTTGTCACAAGACAGCTGCAGGTTCCTGGGTGGGTCGGGCACTGCAGGACACACACACACACACACACACACACACACATGTTCATCATCCACAATGAAAAGATGGGATGAAAACTAGACTACCTACTTTTTGTCATAATTAGTGTATGAATTCTTGAGTTTCGAGAGGTCACAGTGACTAGAACTACTAAACTAAACTAGAAATGGGTGAAAACTGCCCAGAAATACGAGGTAGAATTTTTAAATCTCCTCTTGCACATCTATTACCAGGTATACGAGTCATAATGACAGGAAATGGAGAGTAGTTCGATACTCACAGTCCTCTGGCGTCCTGACCGTGATCACCTCGTTGGTCTTGTGCAGCTTGCTGAGACACTGAGTGAGCACCTTGACGTGGTAGGTGGTGTCTGGTTTCAGCACCGTCAGTTTGTAGCTCGACTTGTTGCTGTGTGTGTCCATGATGGTCCACTGCTGGGTGCCCACCAGCCTGAAGACAAACACACAAGTGATATGAGGGCAGCAGGGTGAGATACGTGCCGACAGCCCCGCCCACAGGTGTGTGTTTACGCAGAATTATAGTCTTAGCAGTGATTTTTGGGGTGAACTGTCCCTTTAAGGGTAATAAACATATCAATCATGTTGCAGATGTAGTGCAACAGTACAACATGATACAAAAAACTCTGAGCTGGTGCAGAGCTGCAGGTAACTGATGCTCACCTGTAGTAAATGAGGAAGTAGCAGGAGTCCAGAGGAAGGTTTTTGGGGCGAGACCAGGTCAGCGTGATGGCGCCAAAGAAGTCTGGTGTCCACTGGAGGTTCTGCACTTTATAGGCCAGGGTGTCCACTGGAGGAAGAGGGAGACACTCCTTATTGGTTGTACACAACACAGCCCGAAATACCCACTAACAGCCAGCAGGTGGCAGCATCGCACTGCTATCAAAATGCTAAACACTGATAAAGTATGAAAGGAGACGTGCTGGCATTCAGTGGAGCAGACACTGAGTGGTTCACATGTGAGTTTATTTAAAAGGCTAATAACATAAAGGCAGCTCATCCCCACAGCTCACATGTAGCTTAAACACACTTAGTGATGATAAAAGGATTTTGGACCTACAGGTGCAGTTGTCCTCGTCGCTGTGGTCAGAGCAGTCCAGGAAACCATCGCACCGCTCGCTGTCCAGGATGCAGGCTTCACCGTCAGAGCAGCGAGTCCCGTTTACACAGAACAGAGGCCCACGAGTAGCTGCAGACGGACGGACAGACGGACAGACAGACAGGGTTTACATTACTGCTCTACATACTGCATCACACTGCTGAGTGCTGTGATAACATTTATTGAGATATATTGTAATCTATTACCTTTTTCAACAGCAGATTAAAGACATAAAACATTTTATTATTATATATCTTTTTATACACTGATACTATGCTGAAATGATTTTTCCTCTACTCCTAAAAAAGGTCTTGATGGATTTGAAGTCCTGCATGAATTCAATCAAAAAAAACATTAAATTCAAAACATCATGATAGGATTTTATTCTCGGTGATCCTCCTGTGTGAGTGTGACAGTATCACAGTAACAGAGACTCACGGCAGTGGGCTTCATCAGAGCCGTCCTGACAGTGGATCTGGCCGTCACAGCGCTGCCAGTCGGGGATACAGTGGGGGGGTCGGCGACACAGGAACTGACCCCGACTGCAGCGTGCAGGGGAGGGGGGGGCCTGGGTGGGTACTGGAGCCATCGTTGCAGAGCCGTTAATTGCTGACAGAGAAATACAGAGTTAATATTTGAATTGTTTTTTGTTTCTTCTTCTGTTGTGTTAATTGTTCTATATCGTACATAAGTTTAAACCCCAATAAATACCTTCACATAAACACATGCATGCACATCAGATATGATGGTACCTGTGGGACATCCCAGCTCGTCGCTGCCGTCGGGACAGTCAGCGTAGCCGTCGCACACCCAGGTGTTGATGATACAAGCTCCAGAGCCACAGTGGAAGCGGTTGGGGGCACAAGTAGAGGGGCCAGGGGCCACAGTGTGAGGAGTAACACCACCTACAAGGGTGGAGATTCAAGTTTAACGACTGAGGATGGATGGGGAGTTGATTCAAGCATTGAAACTACAATCACTGCTTCGTGACTGTACGCCTCCACGCACCTGTCCAGTTTCTCTGACAGTTTACGTCAATGTCTGTAAAATCTTTGAAATGTTTTCCCCATTTTCTGACATTTTATACATCAAACAACTAATTGATTAATCAAGAACATCATCAACAGATTGATCGACAGTGAAAGTAATCGTTAGTCGCAGCCCCAGTGAAGCAGAGCGATGCAGCCGTGATGAGTCACAGCTGTGTACCTGTACACTGCGCCTCATCAGACCAGTCCCCACAGTCGTTCTCTCCATCACACTTCCACCACGTGGGAATACAGCGTTCATTTCTACACTCATACTGGAAATACCTGGAGCATCCTGGGACCGCAGTGGGAGCAGCTGCAACACACAGAGCAGAAGGAAGCATCGTACGGCTGCTTCAACACGGTGTATCTGTTGTTAATTCAGTATGTGTATAAGGTGTGTCTGATGGAAACACTGTGTGTGTTCCTTCTGCATATACTCTTCCTCCTCACCACAGTTGGCTTCATCAGAATAATCCCCACAGTCGTCCATGCCGTCACACTTCCACTCCAGGCTCACACACACTCCGTTGGCACACTGGAAGGTGTAGGCATCACACACCTTGCCAAACTCAGACGGCGTGGCTGACAGAAAACACACAGGAAGATCACCAGGTTACACAAAGCAGTGCAACATAACAAGTGTATGTGTAGATTACACTGAGGGTTTGAAGCAGAGTAACAAAGTGACACTGGGCCTCAAGCAAGAAACGATATACAAACTAATTTTCTCTTAGTTTTGTTTGCATCTACGATTTGTTCTTATTTTGTTGGTCCACTGATTCATCACCAATGCTTTCTTATTTTTGGCTCTTACGAGTAGTCAAGACGAAGATAAGAGAAAAACATCTGGTGTTCACCGTCCACAAACTGTTATCTGACGCAACATAAAATAAATTTGAGGAACATTTAAAAAATGCATGAATATCATATCAAATTTCGATTATGTTTTAGAGCAGTGGTTCCCAACTGGTGAGTCGTGGTCCAAAAGTGGGTCAGCGGTTCAGTCTGAATGAACCGCAGGTGACTTGAAAGCGTGTCAAGTTGAGCAGAGATTAAAGGATAAGAAACAAATCAACGTGGAGCTTTGTCAATAAATTACAGGGATTAATTAAAGGCACACGAGGGTTCCTCACCACATCCAGCGTAGTCGGCGTCCTCGTCAGATCCGTCCTCACAGTGTTTGATCCCGTCACAGACCAGAGACTGAAACAGACACTGGGCTCGGTTCTTGCACACAAACTCCATGTAGCGAGTACACAGCGGGTCTGTGAGGCAAAGACAGAAACCATCATGCAACATGACTCATCAACACACTATAACTTTTCCAACATTGCTCTACAAGCTCTGCCGTGTATTTCTGTGTCTAATAAAATTTCCATGTTCATTTTATCATAAGACATATTTCATGTCTAAATCCTGTGTGTCACTAAAGAAGCACAAACTGATGCTCTGTGTTTTAAGCTATAATGATAAGTGGCCTGTGAGGTTCAACAGGGCTCTATTCTGGGCCTATTCTTATTCTCCCAAAATATGCTACGTCTCAGTGATGCTCTGCATAACATTAGCTCAGTGACACTACTGAGTCACATGATGAGCTGCTGTGATAGAATTTAAATTTTTACTTTGGGTGTGATTTTGAATCCAGCCCTCAGCGGGTTGATGAGTTTGGTTTCCACTGACCGTTGTTGCGTAATTTTGTTCTCAAGTTGTACGATGTTCATCAGTAAAGATTTTGAATAATTCGTTCAAGATCTGATGTGTGATTTAAGTGTTTCCCTTATTGTTTTGAGCAGAGTAATTTCAGCGAGCTGGCATAGAAGAAGGGAGAGATGGAACATGGAGAACATAAAGAAACGTGTGATGGTAAATAAAACGGTGTCACAGATTGACGCATATTAGAGCTGCGTTATGTCCTTACATTTTATATGTTAAATTATTGAAATATAAAAAGATAACAGGTCAAGTTGATTAAGATATATATGTTATATTAATATTTATTTTTATTTTTTGTAGGGCAAAGATAATTGACCTTTATATCATATACTAAGATGGGTTTATATTTTGTAAGATAGATATTTGGTCATTTATATCTATTAATATTATTTATATTATGATATATTTATTTATATTAAAATATGTAATATTAATATTTGGTAATATATAATAAATATTAATTTCCTTCAAAGATGAATAAAGTTCTTTCTGTTCTATTTACATGGGTTATTTTTGTGTAACAATGTAAATGGTACTAAAAATTGCACACTGAGAAACCTGAGGTTTATCTACGAGAAAGCTGTTTGTTTCATTTCACTCGACTGATGGAGAAGACGTTAGGTTTTAATAAGTTAATACTTCCTCCTGCTCCTTTTCAGATGTGTAAATCAAAGTTACTGTACGTTAACAACTGCTTCTACTTTATGATTTTTATTAGTAAATATTTCTGTCCGTCTGCTTGTTTGAACGTTCACGTCTTTTTTTACATATTCAAAATAAATATCAATATCAACACCTCCTCGTTTGACTCTGTCTGATGACCGCCATGTGTTCTGTTAAACAAAAGGAATCACTCACCACAGTTGTGCTCGTCGGCGCCGTCTGAACACTCCTGGATGCCGTTGCAGTGCGCGGTGGCTGGGAGGCAGGTGTGATTGGAGCACAGGAAGCCGTTGCACCGAGTTCCCTCTGGAAACACACAGTATGTTATTAAATGTGTGGGTTTATGTCTACGTCTAAAAACATGAGCTTTTAGTTTGTGAAATCACCACATCTGTACACGTTAAAGAATCCTAATTACCAGCATGCACAACACAGTGTCACAGAGATAACTCCACCATTTTAGTCTAAAACGACACGATGACTTCCACATCGATGAGTTCATGTGACTCAGCTTACCGCAGATCTGAGGGTCTTCATCAGAGTCGTCCTGGCAGTCATCGTCACCGTCACACATCCAGCGCTGTGGTATACAGTGACCTGTGTGACACTGGAAGCTGCTGGCCTCACATGTATGGTGGCCCACTAGGGACAAACAGGAAGAGATTAAAGGCTTGGAGAAGATGGTAAAACACACAGGTGCTTTGGAGGTGACGGACAGACAGAAACTGAACACTCAGTGTAAACAGTGCTGTTTTAATAGACCTGTTTAAAAGGAAACATTTTGACGTCTCACAGCAGGAGAACAACAGCTGTAAATAATGAAATGAATGACGGCTGGTTTCTGTTCAGCTGCTTTGACTTCAGGGTCCTGGTATCGTGAATGCCAGGTCTCAGTGTCACTCTCACTGGAGGACTTTAACAGGACCAGGGTTTCCCACACACTCAGGTTCACTCACAAACAGCTGTTCCTCTCGTCCATCGCTCTGATTGGACGGACAGATCGATTGTCCACCCCGCAACACACAGATTCTACTGTGACCTGCTGTGAGAAGTCAAAATGTCTGCTGCCGTGAGAGAGGCCCATTACATCCTCTGACTGTGTCCAAAGATCCTGTGGATTCATGTGTTTTTATGACGCAGTCCTCACCTGTGCAGTTGGCCTCATCCGACCAGTCTCTGCAGTCGTTGTCTCCGTCGCAGCGCCACGCCTCGCGAATACAAACGCCTCGAGCACATGTGAACTCTCCTGGGCCACACTGGTGAGACTCTGAGGAATGCATCAACAACACAGTTAGCACTTAGCCTCACTGATACAAGATCTTTAGGGCCGTTACTGACACCAGTATTAGGGAATTAAAAAATACAATTATTGATATATCGCCCCATATTCATTCTATCTATCTATGTAATGCATTATATTAATCATTTACACTTTTATTTTGATCCTATGCTCAAAGATTACAGATGTTACCTTTCTACCTATAAACATTAGATCATCTCTTAAAACATATCTTTATATACACTTTCATATAATGCTATATATGCACTTTATCTTTTATCTCCTCTTCATATTGTTGCGTATTATCATCTGAGCTCTGAACAAAGTGTGTATTTGCCACAGTGAACATGACTGAATAATATTTGTTGGAGGTGTTGGCAGATAAACAGCCACATCTCACCACAGTGCTCCTCGTCACTGTTGTCTCCACAGTCGTCTTCATGGTCACATTTGAAGGCCAGCGGGATGCAGGAGCCCGAGGCCATGCAGCGAAACTGGTTGGATGGGTCGCAGGTGGTGGTGGCTGAATAGAGTAAATAAAAACATGTAGTTTTTTAGTGTGGAAGCAGCTTTTGTATTTATTTACAAGAGAGCAAACTGTTGTGGCTGAACACTCACGACACTCCTGCTCATCACTCATGTCTCCACAGTCGTTGTCGCTGTCACACTTCCAGATGCTGCTGATGCAGCGGCCGTTGGAGCAGCGGTACTGGTTGGGCAAACAGCTGTGCTCTGATTGGAGGAAAGAAAGGATCACATGTCACCACTAATTAATCAGATAGTCCCCCCTGATATGCAGGACTAATTTCCAGCAGAGACAGGATCATACGTCTTGCAGCACAGCATCATTATCATCCTGCAGGATGTGCGTTCGTCTCACCGCTCTTGACGCAGGTGTTGTTTTGGAGCTGGTAGCCGATGGGACACTGGCACTGCAGCTCTCCGTTGGGCATGGTTACGGTCGGGGCGCCGTCTGGGCAGACGCAGGTGTGTCGGTGGCCGGGCTGAGGTAGACACAGCAGGCTGCACGGCTGGTCGGCACACGCGTTGTGTCCTGTGGAGCCACAGCTCAGTTTGAGCACTAATACAGTGTTCTATAAATCAGTTCTCAAACTCTCAAAGTAGCATCTACCTGTAGTCCAACATTTACCTTACTTCAGACGGTGCAGACAGCTTAAAGGGTAACTTCAGTATTTTTCAACCTGGACCATGTTTTCCCACATGTTTGTGTCTAAGTGGTCGATGGGAACAACACGTTTTTAAATACTGAGTAAGAGGGCTGCAGCAGCGGAACAGGCTGCAATGTTATCACCCTCAATGTATATCCACTAAAAGTGTTCAGATTGTTATTTTAAATGTCTGACAACATTATAAAAAGGATCCCTACAGAGATAGAGCTTTGTGTTGAAGAGTAGGATCCTTTTTGTTTAAACCCAAACAGCCCTGAAAGCAGCATCACCAAACTCACCAGACTACACTTAAATAAACAGTTATTTTAGCGTGTATAGAGGCAGCAAGTTCTCACATCTAACTGGGTTAATCAGGCTTCATCACAAACAAAGCAGAGTTGCTGATTGATGGAACAGCTGAAACTAAATGACTGTTTATTTAAATGGAGTCTGGTTGGTTTGGTGATGGTGATTTCAGCGCTGTTTTGGGTCAAACATAAAGGATCTTACCTTTGACCTTTGACCACCAAATTCTAATCAGTTTATTCTTCGGTCCAAGTGGACGTTTATGTCAAATTTGATGAAATTGCCTCAAGACGTTCTTGAGATATTGCGCTGAGGAGAATGAGCCATATGGACAGACTATATAGCGATCGCCGGCACAGATCATAACCATGCTTCCCATGTCTTGGGCATTTTTAAAACTTCTGAAAGATTGGTTTAAGAATTTTTTTATAACAATTAAGGACTTATTTTTAGATTAATGAGTTTTAAAAGTTGAAACTTTTTTCGTGTGCAAGAATGCAAATGACACCATCTAGAGTCAGTGTTTGGTTTGTCCGTTCTGGGCTACTGTAGAAACAACATGGCAGACTCTGTGGGAGAGGACCCTCTCCGTATATAGAGGTAAATGGCTCATTCTGCGGTAATGAAAACACAATGATTCTTAGTTTCAGGTTTTTATACACTCATGAAAACATAGTTATGAATATCATATTCCATTTCTGCCAATATTTCCCCCTAAATTCTACAAACGGGACTTTAACTTTGTGTCTGAAACTGAAATCTGGAAACAACTTAAAACAATATCTCACTGATTCATTTCCACGCTTTCAAACTTTCCAAACACGCCTCCACTCTGTGTGTTTTACCTCTGTTCTTCCCCTTGTAGAAGATCTTGAGGTCCATGACTCCAGTGAGTCTGCCAACAATCAGCTCGTTGTCCTGAGAACCAGCTTTCGGAGCTTTGAAGATCCCCATTCTGGACCAGTCGTCCCAGTACAGGTCATTCTGGGAACAGCATCCAACACCAGCTCATGAGAACAGACTCTCAGTGAGCACTTTTACACATTAAACACATTCTAAAATCTGTTTTAACTTCTTCTGATACGAGACTGGAGAAAAGATTGAAGACGAGTGTTTTGTAAAATGGTGCATCTACTGTAAAACAGTGTCACCTTGAAGACAGCGATGGCGTACGGGTGGGGCAGCCCCTCCATGAGAACTCTCCTCTGGCCCCCGCTGAAATCAGCCCTCTCGATGCGGTCGCTGTAGGCTTCGGTCCAGTACAGCCAGTGGTCGTCAGCTGTGATCCCATTGGGCCAGCGGACGCCCTCTGACACAATACAGGACACGTTGGTTCCGTCCATGTAGCTTCTGTAGACACCGGCTGCTCGGTCTCCCCAGTCGGTCCAGAACATCAGACTGTGGGACGAATACGGCACGAATTAAACCGGAACGTTTAAACTAAATGTTTTTGTTGTTTAATTGCCAACACATCTGATGAGCCAAGCATTTACACAGACACTTGTTACCTCTCTCCAGGCAGCAGAACCAGAGCTCTGGGGTGTTCCAGGATCGACGAGTTGAGCAGAGTGTGACGCAGGTCGCCGTCAGGGTTCGACACCTTCAAACACAACAGAGAAACGTTTCATCAGTTTCAGTTTGAGACCGCTGTGTGAAAAACCATCGATCAGGAATCTCATATTTTTAGAACAAACAGTATTTTAAGTGTAAGGGCTGAAACACACGGGCAGCGACCGTTCAAGTGCCAAGACTGTCCTATTTCCAGCCTCACCGCGCCCAAAATTAAATGCATTTCCCCCACTTGCTCTCTGCTTGTACACACCAGCTCCTGTAGCAGCTCTTTCTCCGCTCCTACAGCAGCTCGACTCCTCTCCTCACCACTGATGTATAAAGAGAACTCTGTAGCTGTTGCTGCTTCGTGTGTGACAAAGAATGGATGAGGAGAGACTCATCGTTGAGGTCGAGAAATATCCCGAGCTAAACGACCCACAGTCCCGTCATCATAAAGACAGTGGCCAAAAAGACACTTCCTGGGGAGTCACAGCTGTGGAGATCGGCTCTTCACATGAGAAACTTTAATTAGTGGCTGTTCACACATGATTTTAAGCTAACGCAGAGGTGGAGGAAGTGCAGATCTATCAGCAAAAGTAGTGAGAACTTTGTGAGGTCAACTGTTATTAAGCTGCAGCACGACATGTGCGGTGTGGGGTGGCACTTGTCTCCCTGTAGGAGTGATGGTTCTTGCATTGAGCCTTACAGGACCCCATTCTTCATACCTGAATAACTTAGTTTGATTGTTAATAATTTGACACAACTCTTCAAAGCTGACTTCAAATCTCTCTGCAACTGTTCTCTGAACAAGTCCTTCAACAGAAACCTGTAGAAGTGAATCCTTAAACCCTTTTTCACCAAAATCAGCGCGTGCAGGTGTTTTTTTTTTTAAACACAGGTAAAACTGATAAAAGCAGGCTGATGACTTATTTCCCACTGCCAGCAGAAAAGAGGAGCATGCCTATCTGTGTCTTTTAACTGGTGGCTCACCTTCAATGTCACGGTCAGGCTGGAGAACAGGTTAATGAACAGCAGAGAGCAGCATGGAGGCCTGTGAAAACTTTACAGCAGTCTCTCAAACTTGATGCAGACTAATCTAGATCGATATCTGAGCGCTGCTTGGGTGGAGACAAGCACTACTGTGTGGTGGCGTGTCACTGCGTCTCTTAAGGGGCTAGAATTAGAGCGTTCACCAGTCATTTGACTTGAGTGTGAATGTTCCCATTACATTAAAAAGCCAGATGTTAGCAGCTGTTAGAGGGAACCACTTTCTTGTCTAAAACATTTGATTCTATCTGCTTAATAATACAAACATCTGCACACACTGTGTCACAGTAAAGGTGGAAACAATATGAACAGCACCCAAAGGTGCCTACAGCAGTAAATATATCTAGGTTGGTGGATCCCTGAGTCCTGTGTGCTTCCTGTCTTTGAACATATTCAGACACTTCCATACCTCAATCTTCTGTGCTCCAGCATCAACCCAGTACAGCAGTCTACTGATGGGGTCAAAGGTCAGAGCCTCCACGTTCTGCAGATCTTTCCTCACTACGACCTCCTGACCTGTGCTGCCGTTCAGACACAGACGCTGCAGGAGAGGAGAAGGACAGCTGAAGGTTAACGTTAATGGACGTTACCTCAGTGAACATGCAGCAGATATATTCACATTCATTTCACTAGTGAGGAAAAACTTCAGGCTCAGCAGGATGAAACTTTAAAAACTCTGTCTGATAAACGAGCTCCTCTGGAATCAACCCTGCGTGACGTGTGTTTGGACAGTAAACAATCTGACTGTGTTCCTCACTCACCTGAATGGTGTCCAGTGAGATGTCGGCCCAGTACAGGCAGTTCCTGTCGTAGTCAAAGTCCAGCGCCACGGCCTCCCTGAGGCCGGCCAGAGGCAGGGCCTGGTCTGTACCTGTGGCCAGGTCGTAGCGATGGATGGAGTTCCTCACGGCGTACAGGATGAACTCGTTACTCTCTGAAACAGCACAGGAGACGTGACGGTGTTAATCACATAATGTTGTTTGTGGGAAAAGGACGCAGGAAGCAGCTGCTGTTTCTGACAGTGAATAATAACACACATTCATCAAGCTACTTCCTCCTCCTAACACAGAAGTGTAGGAGTGACATGTACAAACAGCGATCACGTGATCGATCAGACAACTGACGTGCATGTTTACCTCCGACAGGACACGGCAGCATCTCTCCATCCAGCCTGGACTCCACGTCTCCTCCACTACAGCTGTCGCCTGGTACCTTCCTGTAGCTGCAGCAGAAACACAGAGTTCTTCCTCAGTCGGACACTAGGTGGTGCTCTCACCAAACACAACGTCACTTCTCTCCAGAGCAGCAATAAACCGAAAGAACAAAGGCAGCTTCGCCTTCTGGGGAATTCTCAGGTAATGGAAAGTAAAAGAAAGGTGATGACTGTGGGTCTGAATTGTGATGTCATTAGCACCTGGTCAGAGGTTACAATCTGTGCTCATGTGCACTGACTCTAATGTGACGACAGGAGCTCCAGAGGCAGAAAGAGAAACATGGAGCAGATAACTGAGATGTATGAAACACCGTTACGAGATGTCAGGTCACACTGTCAGCTCTGGTATAGGCAGGGCTCCTGCACATTTTCACATGGACAAAATTTCAAAACTTTTCCAGGGACCCATAAAGAAGGTTTCATTTTGGAAAAGCACACACTTCACTGTGTCTGCTGCACCTGGTTACGATACTTTTCTACACACACACATGCAGGAGAGTCTTGCTTCCCATAACAAACGCTGGCACACTACGTCACATATACATGTAACTATATTTTATTTATTTATTTATTCAACCGTTAACCAGGAAAAAACTCTTGAGATTAAAAATCTCTTTTTCAAGAGTGTCCTGGACGAGACAGGCAGCGACATAGAACAAAATACTAAACGTAGAGCTCTAAAACAAGCAAAATAAAACACCTGTTAAGATTACTACAATGGAAAGCCAAAAGTACGTTAATAAATGCCTTAAGTGAATCATAAAAACGCAACAAAAAAAAAAACAGCAGTGCTTTCACACGGCCAAGAGGAACCAGTGAGAGCAACTTTCAGTCCCTCTGCAGAAGATTCCACAGATGAGGAGCTGCAGACAGAAACGCTGGCTTGCCAAACTCAGTGCGTCCCCTCGGTGCAGACAATAAAAACATGTTCTGACATCTATAAGCAGAAGCCTTGGCCGGTACAATGTCATGGAAAATGGGTAAGTTGTAAGTTGAGTTAATCTTCCTTCCTTGTAGCGCCCAGTAGCTCACAAAATAATAATCTTATCTACATAAATTATAAAAACTATTCAATTAAAATTATATTTTCTGATTATCTTTGGTATTTTTGTCACATGCACATTTGACATCATGACTGCTGAGTAATGTGTGTGTTGATGTCGCCTGGTGTCGAGTCTCTTTTTGATCATGTGATGAGACGGGATGATACATGTGGCTTGTTTTTGCAACACACAAAGCTTGATTAAGGGGAGAAGCATGGTTGTCGGGGGTTGAATAACAAACCAGAGCTAGCTGGGAGCGGCTAGCGGAGCGTTAGCCGCAGCATGACCGGAGGGAAGCACAGCCAGTTAGCCTCCGCTAGTCTCTGAGCTAGCCCCGGCTCTCCGTTTGGATCCAACCGGAGCACCGAGCCCTGGTTTGTTATTCAGGTTAAAGTGGGAAGAAGCAGCGGGTTTATAGGGCAGCTGAGTGAAGTGGAGCCTGCGGAGGAAACACCGGGACCGTCTGGATGTAATAGTCCGTGGAGGTGCTGCGGTGCTCGGCTGCACAGATAGGAAACCCCTCGGCTGACAGGATGTACCACTCTCTCACTCCGCTCTCTCTCACGCAGGCGCAGAACGTACGTGCTACTTGGACGTCGGATGTAGTCCGTGTGGTGTGTTCAAATGCAACTGACACAGGGCGACGTGAGGCGACGTAGACGACGCAACAGCTGGCTTTCGTCGCCGCTAGTTCGTTGATGTCAGTTTGGTGTCTCTGCACCTTTAACTGATGATGGAATCACAAATCGGCGCAGTACGTCTCGACTTGGTGCGGCCAAAAGTGACAGTGGAGAGGGCCCAAAAACAGCCTGTAGTGGGGGCCATTATAACCACCGTATGCCACTGGCTGGAAGGTTAGTGTAACAACTAATTTCATTACCATGCTTCTGGTTTTGTCCAAAGGAAAACAGCTTACCTCATATAAACTCATGTAAATGTGATCCTACTGGCACTGCAGATGCAGCATGAACATTATGCTAATAAAGCACACAACAGAATCCCAGGATGCACATTTCTCGCTGCAAAGTCAGGCGATAGCAGCTTACCCTTTGCTGCGGCGGTAGGTGGTGCCGACAGGACACGGCACAGGAGGAGCGTACAGGTCGCCTAAGAACTCGGGGTCAGGAACACACACCTGCAGAGACAAGTCCTCGCTCAGCTTGAAGCCGTAGTCACTGGAAGGAGAAAGGAGGAGGAGGAGGAGGAGGAGGAGGAAGATGGGAGAGGAAACACAGCGAGAGATTAAAAAACATCCAGTTAGCTTCTGCCCTGTGATTAATGGCAGCACCTGACGTGCATCTTAAAGCAGACTCATTATGAGTTGTGATGGGAGCTCCAGGAGCTATAAATGTGCAGAGAAGGCTGGGGCGATGTATTGGTTTGCCACTATTTAAACTTAATTAAGAGTCAGTGCCGTCAGCGTGTGATATGACAGAGGTCCCACTCACACTGAAGCTAATGAATATAGATTTATATTTTTAACTCCAATGTATGGTGTGGGAGGATTCGCCTAATCTTCTCTAAAAGAGCTATTTACCAGTTAAATAGCTGCACTACAGGAGCTATTATCAGGTACGCAGACAAAAGAGTGTGTGATTATCTCATTAGTTAATGAACTGACAAATAAAATAGAGCTTCTGAGGCCACTAAACACTAATGGAGGCTTTGTTACATAAATACAGATGTGTTTCTTTCTAAGCAGCCAGATAGTCCAACCTGTTGTGTATTAAAACTCTGCCTTTTTATCTTCAGATATTTAGCAGTATTTAACAAGTCCTGATCTTCAGTAGGTGTTCAGCCCCTTTAAAGAGAATCAAACCTCACTGCAGACAATCTTCATCATGTTAGACCCATATCCAAATGACTGGTTCTTGCTATAGTCCTGGAGAAAGCAGAATACTCTCAGGTATCATCCTTTACAAGTGAACACTCACTGTTTGAGAGGTTTCAGTCTGATTTTCAACTCATCGTAGAACAGAAACTGATGTTAGGTTGAATTCAGATGCTGGTTGTTCTCCTGTTTCGGTTTAGCTCAGCGTATCTGCTGTTTCTGACGCTGTTTATCATGACATATTAAAGGAAATGGCCACTTGAGAATGAAAACACAGACAGTACTTACTGACCCTCATGCTGACAAGAAGTCCAGTGTAGGTTTTTAATCCAAAAAACTCGTTTGGGGTATCGGAGGACAACAGCTAGCTGGAGTAACAGCTACACTTGAAGTGCATGGAACCCACATTTTGGTAAATGTAATAAAACTCGGCTAATGCATTTCAAAAACGTCTGTTGTAATCCAAGTGCCCTGAAGACGCGGCATGCAAAACTGACTTGAAAAGATGTAATTTACTCCACTTGTATAGCATCATTTCTCACTGTGGTCAGTTAGCCTGCCCTGTAGGAGTGCTGAGTTTACATGGCAAGTCGCACCACCACCAGTAGCCATCAGCTAGTCTCAGACAGTGCAGACAGTACCCTCTGCCTCAACATGTCAGGAACTACACACTGATTACTGTGAAATTAATCAAATTACAAAAACGATAGACTGATTACACAGGAAGGTTACAGTAAGGACGTGCTGGGGTGGTTGCCTGGCAACACTGCAAAAGGCTTTCTGTGTGAACGGGGCCTAAAGCTAGTTTAAATCTCACCTAAATATCAGAACCTTCTTCATATTAATCGGGAATGTCTCCTCTAGCCAGGCTAATATGACCTGTGGTGTTCCTCAAGGATCCATTCTTGGCCCGCTGCTGTTTTCCGAAACTTCAATATTTCTTTTCATTTTTATGCCATCATTTTTTGTGTGGGAGTGTCTTTGTTTGTGTTTTCATTTATTTGCTTATCCTCAGATTTTTATTCATTGTCTTGTATTTGTTTCCATTTTAAGCTACATTGGACTTAGTTCAATCTCGTAACTGCACCTTGTATTTTGTTTTTATGTCTGTAAAGCACTTTGTAAACTTGTTCTTGAAAAGCACTATATAAATAAGGCTTAATATTATTATTTGCTAAAACACACGTGTGGCTCGCTCACCATTCATAGTCCTGGCGCGTACAGGAGCAGTTAGAGACGGTCACTGGCCGGTCGAAGTCTTCTCCATTGAAACACGTGGCATGGGGAGCTCGTCTCTTAAACGTCACCTCTCGGCCCAACAGACACTCGTTACCATGCTCATCTGACGGAGACCAGCGCTTGTAGTCAGCGTCAGAACACGGCACACCTGGAGAAGAAAAAAGAACACTATAGATATCTGACATCAACATGGAACGTCAGTTCAACCTTCTGTTGAGAACAGCTGAAATAAACATATAATAGCAGTTGTGAGCTGCTGTTGCTGAGAGCTGAGCTCCTCATCCTCACCCTCCCTCTGAACCTCCTTCTCACTCTCTGACCTACCGAGGACGTCGGAGGTGTTGACCTGCAGGATAAGCCAGCTGTGCCTCTGGTCGGCGTAGGAGCCGAAGATGGTGAAGATGGTGCTCTTCTCCCCGGGCTCCGTCAGCAGCTGGTAAATATACACCTCCCTGTCTGAGAACTTAAAGTTGGTCCACGTCTCTCCTTCGTTGGTGCTGAACCTGACGGAGACACGGACGATATTTAACTCATGTGTTGCTGATAGAGACTCTGGCTTTTCTTTTTCATATATCCAGATTCATCTTTCATCTGCAGCTGTCACACTCCTGCTTTGATTAAACACTGAGAGCAGAATTGAATCAGGTGATTTAACCCAGTTATATTGACATTAGTATTTATGAAGCAGGTTTCTGAGTAACCAGAGTACAGGACTGAGTCTCTGCATCTAAACCAGGTCAACTGTTTTCACATTAACACACTGTATCACCTGCAGGTGAATATGAAAAGCCTGCAATGTTCCTGTTGGCACAGGGGTGTTATATTACACCTCCACTGACTGAGCGATGGTTTATTTGCTTTTATTCTCCACAACAAGCTGCTTCTCAGTCACGCAATCTGCTCCTGCTGAATAATGAGCACCTCCACTGGGGCAGGTGCCGTTTATGTGCTTCAGTCCCCAGATTTCCTCAAGCTGTTTGGGGGCTTTTAAATGGAAGGCTTCCCGTCACAAATCAGCCTCTCAGGGTTTAATGTTGGAAACTGTTTGTGTTTATGGAGAAACAACTGAGTGACACATTTGGCTTCTGAGCTCGGATCCTGGAGGAACGTTTAAACCGGTCACTTACTTGAGATGTGTGGTGGAGCCTCCTTGAGCGATTGCCATCAGGATCCCACCGTGGTCACCCCATGTGTAGAAATGAGGGCCTGCAAGAGCCTGGTCGACACAGAGAGAACATATGGTCAACTATTGGAACATCAGAAACACAACAGGCTTCAATACAGAGACAGATCTGTCTCAGTAACAGTAATGTGAACCGATCCACAATCTGTGTGTTTAATCTGTAAATTTAAAACAACTTCCATAAATACACAAAAAGATTTGTAAACTCACAAAAATATTTTTGCAAACATACAACGGATCTACAAAAACTCAAACACCTTAAAATTAAAAAACCTGTGAAAACCTCAAATTAAAAACAAAAAATTGTGAATACCTCAAATAAAAAAAAAAAAACTGTTAATACCTTAAAATAAAAAAAACTGTTAATACCTTAAAATTAAAAAAAAAATGTGAATACCTTAAAATAAAAAAAGTGTTAATACCTTAAAATAAAAAAAATAAAAAGTGTTAATACCTTAAAATAAAAAAGTGTTAATACCTTAAAATAAAAAAAAACTGTTAATACCTTAAAATTAAAAAAAAATGTGAATACCTTAAAATAAAAAAAGTGTTAATACCTTAAAATAAAAAAAATAAAAAGTGTTAATACCTTAAAATAAAAAAACTGTTAATACCTTAAATAAAAAAAAACTGTTAATACCTTAAAAAAACAAACAAACAAACAAACAAAAAAAACCTGTAATTACCTTAAAGTAAAAAACTGTGAATACCCTAAAATTAAAAAAAATAAAAAACTGTGAATACCTTAAAAATAGATGGCGACTAACTTTTCCTTTGGGGACAAAATGTGCAGTTGGAAAAAGATTATAAAATGTAATATATCACACTATATGTTATTGTGATACTCAGCATATTGCAAAGCATTTAAAATCACAATAACACTGTATTGTGACTTAAATACCATGATAACTGTGGAGAGTTTAAAACAGCCTCTGCTGCAAATCATTATCAAATGGCATCTTTAAATGATGCAGTGTATTTGTTACAGTCTGAACTGATGCTCATATCCAACCTCTTCTAAATATGTTTTCCATAGAAAAACCCAGTCCAAGCAAATAGCGCAGCAGGTCTGTAATGCCTGTGTTCGTCTATAGGCCCTCAGATGAAATTCATGGTGACATGTTGAGAGCTCTCTTTGATAGACGAGCTGACTGCGACTGCGTTTTACAAGCTGTGTTTTTCTTGTCATCTGTGTCAGACTTTGTACTGACCTCTCTCCACCGAGCTCCGGCGCTGCTGGATACATACACATTAGGCTTGTTGGCCAAGTTCCTGCCGACAGATCCTGCAATCAGAGGACAAAAAGGCATTTAACACACACACACACACATTCTGGGGGTTTTCCCTCAGCGTTACAGACTTCATGTGGCCGCTGCTTCTGCTGTCACATATGGAAAACTGTGTAACCCAAGAGCTCAACCATAGCACTCTGTATCTGTTCATGCATGTGGCCTTTGTATGCTCTGACAAATACTTTCCTCTGACAGCGTGTTGTTATTTAACGAGGCAGGAATGAGCTCCTGAAGCACTTCACAAAGACACAGGATCAAATCTAACATGGAGAAATGGAAGCTTCCTTTTTTAATTGTTTTTCAGAAAAGTAACAGGATGAAGAGTCTCCAGCCGCGACTGTGATGTTCACTGTGACGTACAATGAGACATTTGTTGTCATTCGTTGTAACCATAAGCATAAGGTGTTCAGAGATGTGTTTAGCTCACCTGGATGGTGCAGAGCTCTTGTGAGACTGAATATCAGGGAGCATAAATATGTGAAGCCACACACACGATTTTTCTCGAGTTAAACATCAAATCTGACCTTCTTGTTAGCTCGATGAAAACTCAGGGGATCACCAGAGTCTGCAGAATTCATACATGTCTGTTCAAATATTTTCAAGGCAGTCCATCCAATATTTGTAGATACATCTCAGTTTGAACCAGACAACATCGCCTTTTCCAGAGCCATGCAGCTGTAGCATGGCTAAACTAGAAGTACCGCCTCGTGGTTCCATGCCTCCGTCAACCGGTCACCAGTTATGTTACATTACATGGAGGGTGGTGGTTATCCTCAGTAACAATTTCATTACACACAACAAAATTCAACTTTTCTAAGACTGCTCCAGGTTTTCCATGACCTAGGGATCCCAGTGACGAGGGGCAGCTGTGGTTCAGGAGGTAGAGCACTCGTTGATCCCTGATCCCTGAAGTCTACATGTCAAAGTGTCCTCGGGCGAGACTCTTCTCAAAGTCAAGGAAGGATCCTTAAATGGCCAAACTTCAAGGAGGCTGCGTCACTGAATCCCAACGAAGGACTGGATCCTTGGAATTCTACAGAGAACAGAGTCCTTCCTTCAGAGAATTTTCAAAAATGCATTGGTGTACCCTCAGCGGGCATGGAGTACCCACAATTCTTTGCACAAAATTTGCCAGAATTGAAGGCGGGGCCTCTTCAATGACACACACCCGGGCACTCGGTAACCTGTTCCAATGTGTTCACCAAATGCCAGGAAGAAGTCGTGCCTTGCCTCTGTAGGACCCGACTTGGAAGGACCTGTCCTACTAAGGACTTGACTTTGAGAAGCACCAACTGAACCTTAAATTGCTCACAGTGGCTGTGTCACCACTGTGTGAAGCTTAACTGCTGAGCAGGTGGCACCTTGTATAGTGTCTTTTATATGACACATACTTTTAGTAATGACTTTAAAAATATAGATTAATTTGGAGCGGATTATGTGAAGGTCATATATTCTAATCCTCACTTCCTGTGGGCTACAGCAACACTAAACCCCTGAGCTTGCCTGAGAAGGACTAAATGCACAAAGCTGCTATTTTTAAATATCCCATGGAGAGAGACTCTCACTGCAGCCTGTTCTATTTTGTTGTGAAAATGTGGGCGTGCAGCCTCGTTCTGTGGATGATAAACCAGGTGCAGACTTCCATCTGTGTCACCACTGATGAGGAAATACAGCGAGTGCTGGACGGAGCAGTGAGTGACAACAACCCCGCCCACATTTAAGCCACAGCTGTAAGACCTAATATATATTTAGATTGCTTCTCCCCAATTTCTCTTCAAGAACTGACCACAGTGATTTCTTCATTTAAATCATCAACGTGTCTCTTAGACCCCATCCCAACTAGGCTACTTAAGGAGGTCTTTCCTTTAGTTAACACTCATATATTAGATATGATCAATATATCCTTATTAACAGGCTATGTACCACAGTCTTTTAAGGTAGCTGTAATTAAACCTCTCCTAAAAAAGCCCACCCTGGATCCAGAGGTGTTAGCCAACTATAGACCAATATCTAATCTTCCCTTTATGTCAAAGATCCTTGAGAAAGTAGTCGCAGACCAGCTGTGTGATTTTCTCCATGATAATAATTTATTTGAGGAATTTCAGTCAGGATTTAGAGTGCATCATAGCACTGAGACAGCACTAGTTAAAATTACAAATGACCTTCTGATTGCTTCAGACAAAGGACTTGTCTCTGTACTTGTTTTATTAGATCTTAGTGCGGCGTTTGACACAATTGACCATCAAATTCTACTGCAGAGACTGGATCACTTAATTGGCCTAAAAGGTTCAGCACTAAGCTGGTTTAAATCTTATTTATCTGATCGTTTTCAGTTTGTTCACGTTCATAATGAATCATCTTTACGTACAAAAGTTTGTTTTGGAGTTCCGCAAGGTTCTGTGCTCGGACCAATCCTATTTACTCTATATATGCTTCCTTTAGGTAACATCATTAGAAATCACTCTATAAATTTCCATTGTTATGCGGATGATACTCAGTTGTATTTATCGATGAAGCCAGAAGAAAGTAATCAATTAACTAAACTCCATAACTGCCTTAAAGACATAAAAACCTGGATGAGCACCAATTTCCTGATGTTAAATTCAGACAAAACTGAAGTTATTGTTCTTGGCCCCAAACAACTCAGAGACTCTTTATCTGATGACACAGTTTCTCTAGATGGCATTGCTCTGGCCTCTAGCACTACCGTAAGAAACCTCGGAGTAGGCTGGATTACTGTAACTCTCTATTATCAGGTAGCTCTAGTAAGTCCTTAAAAACTCTCCAGCTAATTCAGAATGCAGCAGCACGTGTACTAACAGGAACTAAGAAACGAGATCATATTTCTCCTGTTTTAGCTTCTCTGCACTGGCTCCCTGTAAAATCCAGAATTGAATTTAAAATCCTACTGTTAACTTATAAAGCTCTAAATGGTCAAGCTCCGTCATATCTTAGAGAGCTCATAGTGCCATATTATCCCACCAGAACACTGCGCTCTGAGAACGCAGGGTTACTCGTGGTCCCTAAAGTCTCCAAAAGTAGATCAGGAGCCAGAGCCTTCAGCTATCAGGCTCCTCTCCTGTGGAATCATCTTCCTGTTACGGTCCGGGAGGCAGACACCGTCTCCACATTTAAGACTAGACTTAAGACTTTCCTCTTTGATAAAGCTTATAGTTAGGGCTGGCTCAGGCTTGCCTTGTACCAGCCCCTAGTTAGGCTGACTTAGGCCTAGTCTGCCGGAGGACCCCCCTACAATACACCGGGCACCTTCTCTCCCTCTCTCTCTCTCTCTCTCTCTCTCTCTCTCTCTCTCTCTCTCTCTGTCTCATTGTGTCATGTGGATTACTGTTAATTTATTATGCTGATCTGTTCTGTACGACATCTATTGCACGTCTGTCCGTCCTGGAAGAGGGATCCCTCCTCAGTTGCTCTTCCTGAGGTTTCTACCATTTTTTTCCCTGTTAAAGGGTTTTTTGGGGAGTTTTTCCTGATCAGCTGTGAGGGTCATAAGGACAGAGGGATGTCGTATGCTGTAAAGCCCTGTGAGGCAAATTGTGATTTGTGATATTGGGCTTTATAAATAAAATTGATTGATTGAATTGATTGATTTAAGAGGACTGTCTGAACAGACCGAGGGTCTAGGTACCATGTCCAAAGGTGCTGGACTGAAAGGGTTTGGTGGAAATGGAGCTTAAGTTCATTTACTACTTTTGAAAAAGCCTGAAAATTTTGACATGGATTCACAGTTACAGAGCTAATTAGGTCGTCTGTAAGTCAGACTAGGAAACATTCTCTCCCTCTGCAGCAGGTAACAAACACAAACACACATTCACCTACAACACACATCTATCCCTCCATCCATCAAGAACAATGGTATTTCAGGACTGGGTGATTAACACCAGCAGCGCCTGCCTTCGACACATGTGCACACATCAGTCCTGTTAATCAACTCTCACTTCAGGGTGAATGACTCAGAGAGGCTCAGACTGAAATGAGGGTAACACGGTGTCTCTGTGGAGGACTGGAAGATCGCCTCGGAAATGAATTGCACTGTGTCTCTGTGTAAAACTGGTTAATGACTCTCATTAAATATCATCACACAAGGAGCCAGAGATTCCAGACAATAAACAAATGTTCCAGAGACTCTCTGTGCCCATTGTGCAGATATGAAGCTGGCAGAACATGGCGCCGCTGTGTTTGTGTGGTAACTACAGTTCTGTCATGATCACTGCTTCAGGAGAAACTTAACAGCAGGCTGAGAAGCTGTGTTTTGTGTTGGCCGACTGTTTCAGACCTGTTTCACCTCTGACCACACCCAGTGCCACTGACAGGTGTGATGGACGCTGGGTTCTTCCTGCACAGAGGGATTTGTGGCGCTCCAAAAGACGTTTTAGGCAGCGCCAAGGGATGATCACGAACGCCAAAATGATGGGAAGTGAATTAAAAATGGCAAATCAAATCCTCTGAGAGTGTTTAATAGGACTTTATCAAACAACTGTAAATGTAAATACGACGTCTCTGACCTCAGCAGTCGACTCTCCTCTCCGTCTTTTATCACTGCTTTTTAATGTTTCTCCACGACACATACACACATTCTTGTACTTCTATCTTTGTGAGGACCCTGACTGACATAATACCTTATCTGGCCTGTTACCCTGAGGGACTGTTCGTTATTTATAAGAGAGAAGGGGGTGGTGCAAAAACAGGGAGGCATGTTAAATCGTTTCCTAAGCACTGGGAAGGAATTTGTGTTTTATATTTTGGCTTAACGGAGCTGCATACAATGGTTGTATTTGTATTTGTTTCACTGCAGATTTTTTTTAAGAAAACATGTTTCCAAATTCTGGGGATTATTCTTGGTGATTTATGAGGAAACATGACACATGAGTTTCCAAATTTTGGGGATATTTTTTTGTGGTCATTCTTAGCAATTCTTGACAAAAACATGGCTTCCAAGTTTTGCCAATTTTCCAAAATCTTGCGATAATTTTTGGTGGCAATTATTGGTGATAAATCTCAGCGATTTCTAAAGAAAACAGGAGCTTGGAAGACGTGTTTTCTTTAGAAATTGCCAAAAGTACACCATTTATTGTAGCCAGAAACTGTAAAAACAGAAATTATCTTTGGATTTTCACATTCGACGGTCACTGAACACATCATGTGTGAGAAATGCTTCTGTCAGAAGAAAATTAATGAACCAGATCTGAGCTTTAAATAGTGACATTTCATTAAAATCACTTTACTCTACATCTAATATAAAATGTGGCTAAAAATAAGTAGTTTGAACTAACTAAGCAGCATGCACAAGGCTTTTTTCAACTCCAGGATTTCATCTTAAATTTTTAACTTTTAAACATCAAAGGTTAAGTTGTTAGAATCTAATTAATGAAGGAGGGAGGGTCACTGAGTTTCCACCAGTCACTCAGGGAGACTCAAGGTAAAATGTTTCTAGCTTCAGGGAGGGTCAGAATCAAAACACCCCGTCACACCGTTCCTCTGATAGAGAACAGTCCCTGAACAGAACCATCACAACTAAATCCTTTGGCCCTGATCACACAGGACGTGTTGTGAAGGTTGTAAAACTCAAGGTGCATCACACTGCCTTTTCTCTTTTAATTGAATATCAATAGTAAAAAAAATGTTTGCTGTGCATTTCTATTGTTGCCAGGCAACCACCCCATCACGTCCTTACACTAACCTTCCTATGTAATCAATCTATAATGTATCTATTTATTTCATTTATCCTGCAGTAATCAGTGTGTAGATGCTGCCATGTTGAGGCAGAGGGTGCTGTCTGTAGCTCTGGTTGAGGGTGAGAGGCTGTCAGCAGATAAACAGAGATCTGTGTGGGTACATGAGACCCTAAAAAAGAGGCTGGATCATGGGGAGTACCACCAGTTGGTCCAGGAGCTTCTCCTCCATCATGGAAGATTACAGGCAGATTTTAGGAAGACTCAGGGGCAGTTTGACAACCTGCTGTCTATCATCAGGCAATATAGCTCTGGGTATCCAGCAACCACTACCACCAGTTTCTCCTCCATTGTTTACCAACTGTAAACTTGTTGTTGTGAGCACCACAGAAGGCCCGCCTCTCAAATCATCTGATTGGACAATGGGAACAAAGCAGAGATGATATGAGGTGCTTTTCTGCTCCATTAAGAACACCAGGCGCCTACAGCTCAGAAACACCAGGTGCATAGCAGCACAAAAACAGCGAGCAAAAATTTTCATTCTCATTAAAATCATTTACAGAAAGGCGCCTCCAGCTACTGAAACACTTCCTGTGTGATCGGGGTCTAACCCCAACCCTTACCCTAGCCTAAACCTGACTGTAACCTGAACCCTGAAAGCGAGTCTGAACCCTCAAACAGGCCGATGAAGAGTTGAGGATGGGCTAAAATGTCCACACTCTGTTTCTGAAATATAAATTTTGTCCTATCATGTACAAGCAACTCAAAGTTTAATCCAGCTGACGACAGCAATGCTTGGTACTGTAAGTAATTACCGCCACATGGTCGTATGCCTCTGCACACCAGTCAGGTTTCTCTTAATAATGACCTTGAGTTTGAGCTGCATGATATACTGTCATAATAAATACTCTTTATGTTAATTTATATATATTAGTAATGATTATAATTCGTAATAAAAATAATCTCAGAGGACGTGTGAGGGAATCTATGAGCGGCTGATTCAGGCTGCTGTGTATGTAAACACGTCTGCTCAGTGTGTGTATGTATATGCTGTCCTGTATTCATGAGTGTGTTTGACCCGTCGAGTGCCCGCTGGGTGCTGCAGCAGTAATTAGCCCATCTGTGTGAGAGCGATAACGAAGCGAAGGGAGCCGCCGATTGCCAGCCCTCTCCCTCTCTCTCTCTCTCTCTCTCCATGCCCATTATCTAATAAGAATTTAATTAGAGGGACTGGCTGGGTGCAGGGGAAGCAGTCTCCTAGACACTGAAGAGTATCAACAAATCAATGCTTTCCAGCAGCTGTGAAGAGGCAAAGAGGCTTCAAACTGCAGGCAGAGACTGTGGCTCAGCAGTGAAGCGCACAAACTCTTCACTCTGATGAATCCATCTGTCTGCAGCACTTCAAAACACTCCGCCCGTCACTTATGACTTCTGATTCTCAGCTGAAGCACCGACACAATACAAGGAGCTTCTTGCACCTTCTCCTCAGAGTGCGGCCGTGTTTCCTGTGCTCTGGGTCATACAGGAAGACGAAGACAGATAGAGCGGCAGCTCAATTACCACAGAGGAAGACTTGTAGGTTTGCATAGCTTGTTTCCTGTGTACACTGAGCTTATCTGTGTTATCAGAACAAGAGGAAGTGGCTGTAAAACTAACACAAGCTCGCCTGGCTGCCGCTCTGTCAGTGTGACCATCAACCAACAGATGGCACCCAAAGGCTCTTCATCTGTCTTGGCTAACCGACACACACACAATCACACACACACTCCGGCCAAAATTACTCAAACCTTCAAAAATGTTTTTCTTTTCTGTCCATCACAGACTCCAGTAAGGCAAATTAAACATGGAATTTCAAATACTCCTGCGCAACAGAAATATTCTGCATCGTTGTTGTGATGTTGCGACGTGAAAACTTCCTGCTGTGGTGCGATAGCTCGGAAATATTGACCTTGTTCTGGATCAAAATTGGATCACTTTTTGGCCCTGTCACATTCTGTGTACGGGTGGGAATCACCACAGGCCCTGTGATATGATGTGATCACAAGGCTTCAGTCAGGATACAATATGATTGCAACTTTAACCCTTTAAACTCTGCATCTGAAACAGTCCACCAGTGCCTTCATTGGTATTTTGTGTATTATGACATCATCTGTTGGAGGATCTTCAAATGTTTCATATCCCTAAAATCGGCACACACACAAGTCTATAAACCATAATAGTTGATTGAAGTGTTGAAACTGTGTCATAAAAAATGAATTATAAAAAATCTGACATTGTTTCATCAGATTTTACAAAATAAAAACACAAAACATTTAATTCAAATGATTTTTTAAATGTAGAAACATAAACAAAACATTTCTGAACACTATGAAAGTTATTTTAACTTCGTACATTTTTAGTTTTTGAGATGTGCTTCTTTGTATAAGCAGAGTGAAAAGGCGTTGTGATAGATCCTTTATTCATTCCTCTGGAAAACCAAGTTTTCATGTGGTTTTGCACTAACGTAACTTAACGCAATGACGTCATCACAAGCGTGCGACATGATAACATGGAAGACAGAAGTTTGAGCTTTCTGCTGCAAAAAGAATGAATGTTGTAACTCTTCTGGTTTAAATTCTACATCAATATATCCAGGTTTTGCAAACAACAATGTCCCGCAGCCATTACTGGGAAACACCACATCATTACGGTGAAAGACGTAATGATGCGGTGATGTTTGCACGGCACGTGAGGTCATGTAAGGTCATGTAAGGTCATGACTTGATGACACTTTCCACAGCACAAACAATGAATGTTTTTTTATTTTATTATTTTAGATTGACTTAAACAGGATCTTACAAACAACGATCTCCTGCAGCCGTCCGTATTATGTTTGTTTTTTTAATTAAAATCGTTGACCGTTGACCAACTAATTGTAATCAGTCCATTCTTGAGTCCAAGTGGACATTTGTGCCAAATTTGAGGAAACTCCCTCAAGGCCTTCTTGAGATAATGTGTTCACAAAAATGTGACAGCCAGACAGACAACATGAAAACATAGTGCCTCTGGCCACATCGATCGCCAGTGCAATAGCGTAAAAATCAAATTGGATAAAAAAAATAGGGCTGGCCTTTGAAATCAGAGGTTTAAATCGCCAGTCAGAGACACGTCAGTTGAATGAGACTGCCTCAAGTTGAGCGGTCTCCTTTTCCAGTGTGCTGTGCACTGAACTTCTGGGGACATTTTGGTGCTCAGATTTTGCTGCAGAGTGAGCGCTCTTGACTTTCACACTACTCTTTGGTTCAGACAGCTCCAAGAGGAGGAGAAACGTTCCACGGTAAAACTGCTTCTGCTTCGAGGTCGTGAATTTACAACTCACGGATATTTAATATGACACAGTTTCTGGCATTTGTTTAAAATCTAGAGTCTGTTGTTAGCGCCGTTAGCTTGTTTAATATATGACATGGATGCCTCTGTCACACTCAACGTCCTGCTGAGCCCGTTGAAACTTTAAAACTGCAGGTTGAAAATGCAATTACAAGTTGAATAGTTCAAAGGCACCATCTGTGATCAACCCACTAAAATTCAACTGATTCATACGACCCAAAAAAAGACAGACTGCGACGTCAATGGCCGAACATTGAAGATTGAATGAGGAGAAAGTTTGGTGCTCACACTGAGTTATCCTCGACTCCTGCACATAAAACTCAACTTGTTTTCTTCAGCATTTTGACGTTCTTGAAATCTTTATCTGTGATGTTGCTGCGTGTCGCCTCACCTGTGGCCATGATGAGTCCCGGTGCAGAGTCCTTGGATAAAATGGGGACCCTCCTCAGCTGGATGTTGAACAGCTGGCTCCACCGCTGGGCCAAGTGGAGAGAGCAACCTTTACCGAGCTGAGGAGAGGAGAGGAGAGGAGAGGAGAGGAGAGTCATGATGATGCTGTTCAGTTGGTTTCACTTCTCTCCTCTCTGATTTTCCACCCACTCACATCATGAGACGTAGGTCAACAACTAGACAGGGAAAGAACTGGAAATAGAAAGTGAGGGTTGTTTCTCACAGAGACCGTCAGACACCTGCAACACTGAACCACATTATTCTCAACAGCAACTGCACATCTGCTGCAGGAGGCACAGGTCTCTGTGGAGGCACTGTTAACATCAGCATCTGCTCACAACACTGAGCTACACACGAGCTCACAGGGTGATGAGATCAGACTCATCATCATCATCATCATCATCATCATCAAGGAACTAAATCCTTCCAGTCGCAGGTTAGTCGGCGTACCTGGCAGTCCACAGTTCCTCCCAGACTGTCGGCAGCAGGCGGCTGAAGCAGCTCCCACGTCCCCCCCTTGTCGAAAGTGATGACGGATCGCATGTTGTCCTCGCTGACCGAGCCGTTGATGAGCGTGGCGATGAAGACTCCTCGCAGCCCCTCCACACGGTGCAGGTCTGCAAAAGGCTCGTTGGCAAAGTACCTGAAACACAAGAGGGGAGACGTCGTCACCACCAGGGTGTGGGAGGAGCTTAATGTACCACAGTGACTGATAAATGATAAACGGTTACTTTCAGAAGAAAGGTGTAATCTGTGGTAATTCCAGCCTTAAAGGAACAGTTCACCATTTGTGAATCAGTTACCACGTGTTGTGCTGAATCTGTGAGGAAAACTTTATTTTTCTCACGTCTCCACAGTGAATCGATAACTTTTTTCACTTACCACTTTTGCCAGTGCCGAGTCAAACCCTGCCGCGTCAGTTAAGACACGCCAACCTTGTCTTTAGAAGGGCTGGTATAGTTTTACTGTTGTTGAACACGGTTGACTTTTACTACAACTAGAATTACTGCTTCGGAATAATATGACTCCGCCCACCAGTCCACCCTGTGGTTGTATGACTCCGCCCACCAGTCCACCCTGTGGTTGTATGACTCCGCCCACCAGTCCAGTGTCTCTGACAGTCTCCATCCATGTCAGTGAAAACATGGATGCTTCACACACAGAAGATCTATACAATCAGCACAGTTTCAAGATTAGAGTCACCAATTCAGTATCTGAACAAATGTCTCCCCTTCTGTTCCTGAGATATGACGTTAAAACATGATGATGTCACAGTCAAGCTGACCTTTGACCTTTTGACCTTCATTATTTTATCCTGTTAGACATTTGCGTCAAGTTTGGTCAAAATAAGCAAACGAATTCCTGAGTTCTGGCTAAAACATGTTTTGTGAGATCTCACTGACCTTTGACCTTTGACCACCAACTTGTAATCAGTTCATCATGTTTGTGCCAAAATTAAAGAACTTGACCACTAGATCCTAATCACTTCATCTTTGAGTCGAACTGAACGTTTTTGCCAAACTTGACAAAATTCCCTCATGGTGTTTTTGAGATATTATTTTCACACGAATGAGATGGATGCAAGGTCATGGTAAGCTTGACCTCTGACCACCAAATACTGATTTTCATCCTTGATTTAAAATGTATGTTTGTGCCAAATTTGACAGAAATCCCTCAAGGTGTTCTTGAGAAAAGGTGCTGACAAGAATGGGACAGACTGAAAACAGTATGCCTAATATCAGCTATCACCGGCGTGGAGGCATAAAGACAAATTTGTCTTTACGGATATGATTTTGGCACGGATGATACTAGTTATACAAATGGTCATTTTGTGGGCAAAGTGTTCCTTTACAGTGGCTGAGAGAAAGTTTTGCTGATTCATTTCTTGCAGAGATTTTAAACCTCTTGTTTCCTTGAACATGTTCTTGTTCACTTGGCTCCAAACACCGCAAAGCAAACACAGGTGAACCAAATGAATCAGCATTTTAAATTCAGAGCTGTGTGAGGCGACTTCACACACAGAGAGGTAAACAGGAAGCTTGAACTTCATTACCCAGACACGGTGTGGGCGGACTCCACTCTCACATACAAAACACACATTTTCACCAGCCTGTCACCGACCACAGGACGCTTCACATAAACAGGTGACACAGTGTCACATAACACAGAGAGAATCATCACTGGCAGACAAACACCTGAGCGCCACTGTGCCTGCCTCTGCCAAAACAACACAGGATCTTCCTGATGTGATTACGGAGACACAGAGGGAGAATAAACGCAGAGCTCCGAGGTCAGAGAGAGTTGTGGCGTCAGATCAATAAACTGACACTTATTAGATAAAGAAGCATTACTCTGTGTTTGTAAAGCCTTTGTATCGTCACTATTATCAGGCATTTGTGAGGCGAACTCCAGGTCTTCCTGTCAGTTCCTCAGGTTGCTATGGGAACTACTCAATTACTAGCAAGCCTGCAGACCCTGCTTAATTTGGACTGCAGGTACACACAGGGTTCATTTTTATGCGCTGGTGTGTTTTGCTTGAGCAGGAATCATTTCTGATACGAAGGACAAAGGAGCAAATAAACCACAGATATTTATCTTAATGCATATGAAGCATGAAAGTTCATATTTGACCTTTAAAACAAATTGCGTCAGAATGTCTGAATGTAGCGTTGGGTTATCCAGAGCAGCGCACTCTCAGAGTGGCAGAGCGCACTCTGGACACTCTGTCTGTGGAGACGGAGCAGCAGAGCGCCGAGCGGAGTGAATGTGTGATTAACTTAACCGTTGGTTCATTCATGTAGAAATATAACGCTGCGTTTCTTCCACCAACAGGGCTCTCATTTTAGTGTAGAGCATCAGACTGAATTAGCAACGCACCATGTCAGGTCACTCACTCTCCGGGACCGCCAGTGTTACTTGAAAAAGTAAACACTGACCAACGGGACCAGACTGGCCGACCCGTATGCTCTCACTCAGTGGATGGATGATGTCACAGGAAGCCAATCTTACAAAGGAGGACCACACTTGTTTGTTTTGCTATGGAAGCTAACGTTAGCTAATGTGCTAAAAAGTTAGCGTTGCAGAGAAATCCAATATTCCTCTTAATCCCTCCCCAGTTTCTGATGAGGTGGACATGATAACCCTTAATACACATAACCTTATTCATCCCTACAACAGGAAATACTTTTTCCCTAACCTGATATGAAGTGTGAGCTGCACATGTGAGCATTTTTGATGATGGCCTCCGTCCAGTCCTTTGGTCTTATCACATTTAACCATCTTTGTTTTTGTTGACGGGCAGTGGCGGCTGGTTTTGAGCCATGACTTCTTCTATTCTGGCTCCCAATAACACAACAAGACAAACACATTTTAACACTCCTATGGAGCCTACAGCCCTGTGGGGGAGAGGCAGCTGCTCCTCCAGCTGATAACATGATGTCATCGTGATGTCGGCCCTGAAAGGGTCGATTAACAAGTGTAAGATCACGTCAGTTGCTGCCAGATCTCGTGAGAGTTTGTTGGTACAACAGAGACACGTCTTGAACAAAGTTAATTTCCTCCTGATTTGTCTGAACAAATGTGTCAGAATGTTAAGAAGGGTCGAGGCTTGAGAAAAATGGGCACAATATTAATTTCAGTGACAGTAGAGGTCATGATCTGTACTCACATTCACTCCTCCCATTGGAATAAATGGACTCAGGGCTGCAACTAGCCTCCTGAAGGGGCGGGGCAGTGGCAACACCCAAGTGACACAGATACAGGAAATGAATCTAAAGTGGGCCGTCTCTGTTTATCAACCGTCTCTGGCCAAACAACTCCAACTCTTCTGGAACCATCATGAAAACTGAGCAACACTTCTGTCTCTGAATGGTCACTCAACTCTTGCTGACTGACTCTAACCAATCGTAGCTTGCTATCTTTCAAAACTTGCGTGACACAGGTAATCTGGGGCCGATTTCACCACCTGGCAACACCACCCACACATGTTTATGTAGGAAGAAATAAACTTCAGGCTCTCATGTGGAGCAGCCCTTTTTTAGGGTTGAAACCTGTCTGTGTTTTAATGTAAGCAGCCGTGTTGTTTGTTGGTGACCCTGAAAAAGGTTTTTAATGATACTAATGATAAATTCTGACTAACCAGCCTGATGGGTTTCTGAAACATCTCAGGTACCGTGCGTGTGTGTGCGTGCAGTACCTGATGAGTGTGTTGCTGCCGGAGCCCTCAGGACTGTAGTACAGGACGTTCTCCAGAGACAGAGAGAAGGACAGGCCCTGTGTGTCTGAGATGTAAAGGTGTGTGGCGTTGTTCAGGTGGTTCACACACACAAACACTTGGTCCTCCGAGGCGTCTGCGATGTAGTACTCCTGTTGGGAGAAGAAGAAGAAGAAAAGAGAGGTCATCCTCAGGTCAGCAACCTCCTGTCTGATCACACTGAGGACGTACTCCTGATGTGAGAAGACGTCATATCACAGTGGAAACATGGACCTGTACACTCTGCTGTGAAGTGTAGGTGGTTCTTCCACCAAAACCAGGATGTCGATGGTGTCACATATTTTTAGAAATAGGAGCCACACTGTTCATATGCAGGTTGCTTATTTCAGGTTCTCCACAGCGTACAGGAACAGACGGGAGACAGGAAGAGCTGAGGATGTGATGTGAAACTGACTTTGACTCGACTCACTCCAGAACGATCCAAACACCAATTTATACAAACTCAGAGATCAGTCAGGGATCACAGACTTGACGGTCAGATGAACTCTGGGTTCAGTCACCCTATAGATCTGCATATTCTGCCAAAGCATTACCTCACATAGTCCTTTTTCCAATACCCTGCAGTATACCTGTCACCATAACTGGTTTTGTTGGATTATTATGGAGATAAATTTGTCTCAGTATTATTTGTGTGAACAGATCGACACTCCATAAAATAAAATAAAAAATATCTGTGAATTCATTTATAAATAAATGAAAAGCATTTGTGAATACCTTCCTAACTTTTACAACTTTCAAACAGATATTTGTGAATCCAGTTTTTATTTGTGTATCTTAATTTTATGCTTACGGAGACTTTTTTATGTTCATGTCTGGAATTTGTTTGTGTGTTTGCAGATATGCTTTATTTTGAAAAATATTTTTGTGAGTATACAAATCTTTTTTTTGTATTTGTATTTGTAGGAGGTGTTTTATATTTACAGATCAGACATTAACATGTGGATTGTCAGTCTGTTCACACAAATAATGTTGAGACAAATCTCTCTCCATAGATCATATATTATATATAATGATAATATAATAGCACAGTGATGCAAGTGCCTTTTCAAAGTGCAATGAACCTTTGATTCTTAAGAATATTCAGACATTGGAATATGAAAAAATATTTAACATATTTATATAAAAGTTATTAACAACTCTTATTATATACAAGAAAGCACATCAAAAATTGAAGTTCCTTCATAGGAGGAGCCATAGATTACTGGGTTGAGACTTTATACAGGGTTCCCACGTACGATTTCAAAGACTAAATTTCAAAACTTTTCTGTGACTTTTCAAGAGTATCGATACTTTTCTACACACACACTCATGCAGAGAACACCGCCACACTACGTCACACACACACGTAACGTCTAACAGCAGAAGACTTGGCTGGTATAAGTCCTGGAAAATGAGAACTGTGCAAGTTTTCCATTTGTATCAAGCATCAAATAAGTTGTCTGAGTTAATTTTTCTTACTTGACGTTGCACGTTCTTCAATGGCGACTACTGAGCATCGCAGTGTTGATGCTGAAACGATATATCTTGCAGCCCTAAGTTAACGCTTATTAGAGCTACGTTACGTCAACAGCTAACTTACAGAAAATAAATTTGCTGTTCTGTTACATTACATGGAGGATTATCCCAGAAAGATTACTGTAACAATTAATTTCATTTCATACACTAAAATTCCATGACTTTCCTAGATTTTCCATGACCGTGGGAACCCTGTACAGTGACACAGCTTTATCAAAAAACAAGTAAATATTTTGCCACGAGTCAATATTTGTCCAAAGGAAAACAGCTCACCCATGAAAACTCATATAAATCTGAAAAAAAACAAACAAGCGATGCCTCTTGCGACTGACCAACACGCTCTGGGAGCACCACAGTTACCTCCATAATCTGGTCAGTGTGCTACAGTCGGCTCCCGGGATGGACGGCCTGAGAGCCGAGCGGTTTGCTGGTGGATTTACGGAGCGGAGGATGAAGTTTCTCAAGGACAAAAACAAGGATTCTTTGGCTCGTTGCCGGAGGCTGGCAAACTAACGACTATCAGGACTATTAGATGTTTGAAATCCAACTGGTGCTACTCAACAGTTTTTGATACGACAGAGACATTTTGGTCTGAGGATCGACACCCAGCCCCGTCAGCTCGTCATTCAGTCTGCTGATTAGGCTCCATAAACTCTTTATTTCTTTAAATCACTGCAGTAGATGTGACAGAGACTCACTGTGATTGGATGTCGGGTCATGAACTGGGCAGCTTTCATTGGTTGGCGGTTGTAGGAGACCCAGAGCTGAACAGATGAAGGCTCGTGGCTTCCAAACAGTTTCTGGAGAGGCAGGGGACACAGAGACAGACACAGAGACAGTTCATTCAGCTACTCATCATCATCATGTCAAACCCTTGATCATCTCAGAGGCAGACAATCCAGTAACATGCTCTGATTTTGTCAACCTCATGTGACGCTGCAGAAGGAATTTTATGAGTCAGCAGAAATCTTGATCTTCAAAATCTCCCGAACAAATCATTTTCATAAAAGCATCTCATGACATTTTGTTGACTGATGTAAGACACAGAGACGCTGCTGAACCAGAGAGGGTCTGTGACTCTCTGGAAGTCCTGACTTTGTTTTCTTTAAACAGAGGACACTCTCACGTGTGGAGTAAAGCTGGACAGCGCTGTCCTCAGAGCAGTGAGGGACAGGATAATAACAAGACACTTTGGTTATCTGGACCGTCCTGATGATGTTTTTCTGTCTCAGTATACTGAGCTCCAACAGCTGAGTCAGAAAACATTCAGCGTCCAGACCTAAGAAGACCCAGCGGGGTACAAGAATCTGTGTGTGTGTGTGTGTGTGTGTGTGTGTGTGTGTGTGTGAGAGAGAGACACACAGAGACAGAAACTCCAAAGGCACGTCTTCATTGTCATTACAAATACATTAGGAAGCTGCTGGAAGGAGCAGAGCTCTGATCTTTTATGAATTATAAGCGTGCAGACCAGACAGAGCTGAGGATGGGAGCAGATCTAATTTCTGTGTGTGTGTGTGTGTGTGTGTGTGTGTGTGTGTGTGTGTGTGTGAGATCCTCAGAGACTGAGTGAGTGTGTGTGTGTGTGTCTGAGAGAGAGAGAGCCAGTGAAGGAGGAACAGAAACATCTTCTGATCACAGCCCCGGGATAGACTCCAGAGTTTTGGATAAGTGATGATTTTCCTTTGAACCGTGACAAATGATCGACCCACTATACACCAGCACAGCCATGACATGATGCATGTGCTGTATGTAGAGTGATACACGGGATACATATGATTTCGTGCCGTTCCTAAGTGGCGTGCGGCTCTGACAACTTGAAGTATTTTACTGCTGGAGAGACGGTCTTTCCATAAAACTTTCAACGCAGTGAAAAGACACAAACACTTCTGATACTGCTGCAACACGACCAGAGAGGACAGAGACAATGGGCTTTACTCAAAGGGTAGAACACCTACAACTACTGTAAGACTTCAATTAATAGCCCGGGCTATTGTTTGCTTAAATCACTGAAATCAACAGGCCTGTATTTGGGACAGGCCTTTAAATCAAATTGTTTATTCAAACCAGTGTGAGTACTGATTGTATAATAATTAGGCTTTAGATAATAAACCAATTATGAATCATTTAATCTTGCTCCGACAGACAGAGCATCACAGAGAGAGTTATGGCACCTGGTGTACCGACACAACACCACATTATCCTGTTAAAACAATCCTCACAACTTGGATTCATTTTCATAAAAAACCCTTTTGATTCTTTTGATCTGAGTCTTTACAGACTAAAGGAACATGAATAACTTACAGGGTAATCGAGGAACGCACACATCATTTCAAGGTAGCCAACAACCTGGTTTATACATCTGAAGAACTGCTACAAAAAAATGAACTGCTTGGAAACCACACCAGGCCTCTAATTGAGACAGGCCTGTATTTGACAAAATGTGAAGCCACGCCAGGCTAGTAACAGGGACAGGGTGTTTAGTTGACGATTTACGGGAGTTAGTTTTAAATTCCCCCATTGCTTTTATATTTTTGCTTTGTGTTCTATTTGTAGAAAACATCTCAATTTCACAGTATCATGGTGTTAAGAATCATTATTATCAGTCAGAATGACCCTTAAAGGAATGAAGACAGAAGGGACGCTTCAGTCAGGACAACTTGAGTCAAAGAAAACTTTATTTACATTGCAGCATTATAAATGGTGTTATGGCTCTGTTCTGGGGCCTCTCTGCCCTTCCATGCGCCTACAGAAATGACACTGATAAGTCAGACACAGCATGAAAAGGAGGAGCTGGGGTGGAGGCAGGTAGGGGCGCCCTGAATGAGATTCACCAACTGGTTGCATAGAAGGAATCATGTGATCTATCAGCTGACTCCCTTCATCAATCAGCTGATCCATCAGGTGATTGGACTGCTTGGGCTACCGTAGGTAAGCAACTGTACACAGTCTGGTTTCACGGTATACCTTGAAACTGGTATCTCGCTGCAACTCTAATTATGTGTAAAGCACTGTGTAACGTTGGTTTTGATAAGTGCTGTACAAATAAATCTAAACATCATCTAACTGCATTTATCTCCTTTGCATTTTAATCCACAGTCATATCATCAGAAGAAGGAGCTCACTTTCCTCTCTGTGCTCATCAAGACTCGACTCTCTGCTCCTAATTACATTGCTCTTACAGCTGACGTACCGTCTACTCTTCGCATTTGCGTCTCTGCTCTCTCAACTGAACATTTATTTAGTGATCGTGGCCTCAGTTCAAACTAACAGAGAGCTGAGCAGCTTCATTATTTCACCCTGGACCACCATGTTGGAGGCTTTAACAGAAACACCCTCCAGAGAAAGAGATAAAAAGAGAGAGTGAGAGAACTGGAGGATAGAGACAGCTTTGGAAAGCTATAAAATGAATCAGAACAAAGAAGTCATGCCAGAATTCAGTGAGCTGAGCTGCACATTCACTCTCTGTTCAGCCTGATGGAAATGTTAGATTAATATAAAGAGCCATGATACTGGACATTTATTAATAATCACATATCAGCCATTCAGTGTCAGCGCCTCTCATAGGTAAGGTCGGGGTCTGATAGCATTTTATCAAACACGAACACTCTACTGATTGAGTTTATCAGCTCTAAATCCTTCTAGATCACTTACTGAATCCAACTCGGTTCAAAATTATACATAACTAAAACGTAATATTCGGTTTCTTGTTGGCTGGAGAGCAGGAACACCAGTTTTTGGACGAATCCTTGTATGTAATGATCTATATATGGATCTGTATCGATACATTGATTCAGTGATTATCTATCCAATGTCTAAAACATTCATCCATATCATCATCTTCAGGATATGCCTTTATTTTGAAAGTCTGTGTCACCATCTAACAGCAGCAGGAAGATACTGTTGAGCAGCAAAGAGAAGGCCGATGAGGATAACGTTACCTACTTGGAAATATTTTTGGATTCTGGAGAAAATACACGTAGACAGAGAACATGTCGTACGTAAATAAATGATGCCGTTATGGGATAAAACACAACGTACCTGCCTGGTCAGCATCTCACTCTGCTAACTTCTCTCTACGGCAACATCACTGCTCTGTTTTAACAATGTTTGACTAAAAAAACATGCATGCAGGCTGAAATTCAACCAAGCCGCTCTGTCGGGAAATGCAGTGACTGAATAAGGAAAACTTTGTCAGCTGCTAGACTAATTTATGCAATGTAAACATGCTAAAGCTAATAATGAGTGACGAGCAAAAAACAAGCGTTCAGTCTATGAACCCTGACAGTTATTACTGAGCTGAATTTGATACTTGTGTTAAATGATCTTGTTGTTTTATGGCTGTTTGGAGAAGTTTCCCTTCAGGGCTTTAAGCGGGACAATCCCAAGTTCTATGAAAATGATGGTTCGGATTAAAATCGAAAGATTTCTTCCAGAATGTTCTTGCTGACAGAAAGGTTAGCTTATCCCATGTGCTGTTTTATGTGTAAGTGGAATCGGTTTTACATTACTTTACTTTACTGCACTTTAATGGTGACAGTTATTTACATTATTTACGTGTTGTTTTTATTTTTTGTGGCCAAAAGCAAAAAAGAGGTGGCTTTGTCTTCTATATCAGTCTGTGTTAAATTATATCGTCACATATTAGCCCTTTTTAGACAGGAGTTGTGCAAATTTGCAGGAAAGCCCAATCAGTGTTTTTTCAGCACTGGCAGTATAAAAACAAAATCGGGGAGTGCAGCAAAATGCCGCCTACCTACTTTTGTTTATACAGAATGTGCCTTTTTCGGGGCAATGGGGGGCGTGAGCAAGTAACAAAACGTGTAGCTCAGCGTGTGACGTAAACAGTGACGTGGGAGGGAAGCCGCGGCTGGTCAGTCCTTCGGTGATTCTCTCGTAAGTCGGCCCGTTCTTCACCGTCCCCGTCATCTGACGGTTAATGGCCTCTTCGTATGCGAGGACAAGGAGGGTGCGCAATTCCTTGTCTCCCCAGTTGCTCATCTTTACAGTGGTGATTTGCTCCACCACTATTCTTAATATTATCTGTTATCTGATACTTCATTCCTTCAGTTTCTGGAGTTTTTAGTTTAACTTACATTTAAATGTTAATGACATGTTCGGATCTGAAATGTTAAATATCAGCTATCAGAGAGCTCAGTTTTGACATAGTGGTGCTAGTTTTCAGAAAAACACTGTGTGTGTGTGTGTGTGTGTGTGTGTGTGTCTTGGAGGATTTGTGTCCATCCTTGACTGAGCATTTCCAGTCTCCAGCAGAGCATTTCAGCCTCTTCCATTCAGTCTATAGATGTATCTCTCGTCGTGCCAACATGGACTGTGTGGTGTGATGTTAGTGCTCTGCAGCAGCTCCACTGAGACTAACAGAACTAAAGATCAATATGGTATCACATCATGTAGAATACAGGCAGATATATATTCTGAGGCATGGAGAAAGTCTTCTTATAGACTGAAGAAGAACATCAGAACTGACTAATTGTGGGTCTGGAGTCATGTTCACTTTATCAAGGCTTTCAGGTCAGTTTACTTTGTGAGTCAAGAGGGAAAATTGGACAGGAGAACGTCAGCTATGTATTTTCAGATTTAAGTGGCGTGGCAGTTATATATTTTTCCACTCAAACCACAGATTGCATTACAATGGCAACTGTAAATGAGCCACACATTCCACTCTGAGCTCATGTTCTCTCAGACTGATCCTCTTGAAACTCTCAAATCCCCGAGATGAGATGTGGCTCTCGGGCCTCAGATCAACTCAGCCAAGGTGGCAAACAGACACATTCACAATAGC